AATATTTAGTAGCCAGGAAATGTCACGGATGGACTTATTGCACAGGTGACAACCTATCACAGGACCACGCTTGGAGTCACTGAGCTCCTGAGAGCGACCCATTCTTTCACAAATGTGTGTAGAAGCAGCCTGCATGCCTAGGTGCTTGATTGTATACACCTGTGGTCATGGAGGTGATTGGAGGAACACCTGAATCTAATGATTTGGAGGGCTGACCCAATACTATTGGCTATATAGTGTATTCAGAACTGAAGCCTAGCCTGCTGTGCATAGATTTTACCACAAGGCGGCATTGTTGTAGTATACAAAAGATAGAGTGCAACTTTACACATAACAACTTGGTACAAAATAATGTTCTTCAGCAAGGAACATACAGTTGTGCGCAAACGTTTGCATACCCTTGGAGAATTGATAATATACATTTTTAAATGTACCATTTTTAGGGAAAACATGAGTGATCAGGCAAAACACATTTCTTTAATGTATTATAAGATTCATATAATGTAACTGTAGGCCATAACAGAATGGTCCGATCATAAAACAAAACATGGCAACAAGTAAACAAATGAAATGCCCCCCCCTGTTCAAATGTCTGCATCCCCTTAGTTCTTCATACTGTTAATTGCCCCCTTTAGCATCAATGGTAGTGTGTAGTAGTTTTTGTAAGGCCTGTTTCACCCGGGTTGCAGCTTGTAGAAGAGCAATGTGAACAGCAGGCTTTGTTGAAGCTTTTAAAGCACCATCCAGCTCAAGTTTATAAATGCTGAACACAGATCTTATTGGGACTGCTGATTGCCACTTTAATCAAGCTGCTGGAAGGCTTTGTAACTTCTTGAAGTTTGTTGAAAGCCTGGGAAAAAGAAATAGCTGGCTTGTTAGTATGTTTATTCTTCATAATATAGGGCAGCCTTTCTCAACATTTGTACCCCTGAAGAACCCTTGAAATAATTTTCAGGTTTTGGGGATCCCCTGCCAAAAAACGATTATACCTACAGCCAGTGGCGTCACTAGGTTTGGTGTCACCTGGTGCAGCAAAACATGGTGTCATCTCCCCCCCAATAATTGTATAATTGCCATTAATTTCTAGGACCACTTAGCAACCAATCACCTGCTGGTTAACTTGCAAAGTTAGCTAAATTAGATGCCGTGCTCCCGCCCTCCATCCAGCACTGTGCTGCCCCTTGTATTGGTGGTTAGTGGAAAATTGCCCTTTTGTATTGGTGGTAGAAGATATTTGCCCCCTTGTTAAGTTAGTGGATAAATGCCCTTTGTATTGGAGGTTACTGGAAAATTGCCTCCTTATATTGGTGGTTAGTGTAAAATTTCCTCCTTGTGATAAATGGTTAGTGAAATTCTTACCCTTGTATTGGTGTTTATTGGTAAATTGCCCCTTTGTATTAGTGGTTAGTAGATAATTGCCTTCTTGTATTGGATGTTAATTTGATATAAGGCACAAGCTTTAATTATTATTTGTGTAAGAAATAGCAATATATATATATATACAGTCAGGTCCATAAATATTGGGACATCGACACAATTCTAACATTTTTGGCTCTATACACCACCACAATGGATTTGAAATAAAATTAACAAGATGCGCTTTAACTGCAGACTGTCAGCTTTAATTTGAGGGTATTCACATCCAAATCAGGTGAACGGTGTAGGAATTACAACAGTTTGCATATGTGCCTCCCACTTGTTAAGGGACCAAAAGTAATGGGACAGAATAATAATCATAAATCAAACTTTCACTTTTTAATACTTGGTTGCAAATCCTTTGCAGTCAATTACAGCCTGAAGTCTGGAACGCATAGACATCACCAGACGCTGGGTTTCATCCCTGGTGATGCTCTGCCAGGCCTCTACTGCAACTGTCTTCAGTTCCTGCTTGTTCTTGGGGCATTTTCCCTTCAGTTTTGTCTTCAGCAAGTGAAATGCATGCTCAATCGGATTCAGGTCAGGTGATTGACTTGGCCATTGCAAAACATTCCACTTCTTCCCTTAAAAAACTCTTTGATTGCTTTTGCAGTATGCTTTGGGTCATTGTCCATCTGCACTGTGAAGCGGCATCCAATGAATTGTGAAGCATTTGGCTGAATATGAGCAGATAATATTGCCCGAAACACTTCAGAATTCATCCTGCTGCTTTTGTCAGCAGTCACATCATCAATAAATACAAGAGAAGCAGTTCCATTGGCAGCCATACATGCCCACGCCATGACACTACCACCACCATGCTTCACTGATGAGGTGGTATGCTTAGGATCATGAGCAGTTCCTTTCCTTCTCCATACTCTTCTCTTCCCATCACTCTGGTACAAGTTGATCTCGGTCTCATCTGTCCATAGGATGTTGTTCCAGAACTGTGAAGGCTTTTTTAGATGTCGTTTGGCAAACTCTAATCTGGCCTTCCTGTTTTTGAGGCTCACCAATGGTTTCCATCTTGTGGTGAACCCTCTGTATTCACTCTGGTGAAGTCTTCTCTTGATTGTTGACTTTGACACACATACACCGACCTCCTGGAGAGTGTTCTTGATCTGGCCAACTGTTGTGAAGGGTGTTTTCTTCACCAAGGAAAGAATTCTTCGGTAATCCACCACAGTTGTTTTCCGTGGTCTTCCGGGTCTTTTGGTGTTGCTGAGCTCACCGGTGCGTTTCTTCTTTTTAAGAATGTTCCAAACAGTTGTTTTGGCCACGCCTAATGTGTTTGCTATCTCTCTGATGGGTTTGTTTTGTTTTTTTCAGCCTAATGATGGCTTGATTCACTGATAGTGACAGCTCTTTGGGTCTTATCTTGAGAGTTGACAGCAACAGATTCCAAATGCAAATAGCACACTTGAAATTAACTCTGGACCTTTTATCTGCTCATTGTAATTGGGATAATGAGGGAATAACACACACCTGGCCATGGAACAGCTGAGAAGCCAATTGTCCCATTACTTTTGGTCCCTTAACAAGTGGGAGGCACATATGCAAACTGTTGTAATTCCTACACCGTTCACCTGATTTGGATGTAAATACCCTCAAATTAAAGCTGACAGTATTCAGTTAAAGCACATCTTGTTTGTTTCATTTCAAATCCATTGTGGTGGTGTATAGAGCCAAAAATGTTAGAATTGTGTCGATGTCCCAATATTTATGGACCTGACTGTATATATATATTGCCAAAAGTATTTGGCTGCCTGCCTTTACACACACATGAACTTTAATGGCATCCCAGTCTTAGTCCGTAGGGTTCAATATGGAGTTGGCTCACCCTTTGCAGCTATAACAGCTTCAACTCTTCTGGGAAGGCTGTCCACAAGGTTTAGGAGGGTGTCTATGGGAAGGTTTGACCATTCTTCCAGAAGCACATTTGTGAGGTCAGGCACTGATGTTGGACGAGAAGGCCTGGCTTACAGTCTCCTCTCTAATTCATCTCAAAGGTGTTCTAATGGGATGAGGTCAGGACACTGCAGGCCAGTCACGTTTCTCCACCCCAAAACTTGCTCACCCATGTCTTTATAGACCTTGCTTTGTGCACTGGTGTACAGTCATGTTGGAACAGGAAGGGGCCATCTCCAAACTCTTCCCACAAAGTTGGGAGCATGAAATTGTCCAAAATGTCTTGGTATGCTGATGCCTTAAGAGTTCCCTTCACTGGAACTAGGGGGCCAAGCCCAACCTCTGAAAAACAACCCCACATCATAATCCTTCCCCATCAAACTTTACACTTGGAACAATGCAGTCAGGCAAGTACCGTTCTCCTGGCAACTGCCAAACCCAGACACGTCCATTGGATTGCCTAAGAGAGAAGCGTGATTGGTCACTCCAGAGAATACGTCTCCACTGCTCTAGAGCCCAGTGGTGGTGTGCTTTACACCACTGCATCCAATGTTTTGCATTGCACTTGGTGATGTAAGGCTTGGATGCAGCGGTTTGGCCATGGAAACCCATTCCATGAAGTTCTCTACGCACTGTTGGTGTGCTAATCTGAAGACAAAGTTTGGAGGTCGCTGACCCCGCTCTGTCATATTACGTGGACTACCACTTGGTGGCTGAGTTGCTGTTGTTCCCAGTTGCTTCCACTTTGTTATAATACCACTAAAAGTTGACCGTGGAATATTTAGTAGCCAGGAAATGTCACGGATGGACTTTTTGCACAGGTGGCAACCTATCACGGTACCACGCTTGGAGTCACTGAGCTCCTGAGAGCGACACATTCTTTCACAATTGTTTGTAGAAGCAGTCTGCATGTCTAGGTGCTTGATTGTATACACCTGTGGCCACGGAGGTGATTGGAACACCTGAATCCAATGATTTGGAGGGCTGGCCCAATACTTTTGGCAATATAGTGTATATACAGTTACACTCAAAAGTTTGCATATCCAGGCAGAAATCATAAGATTTTGGCATTAATATTGAAAATATGACTGTCTTTTATTTAAGGATAGTGATCATATGAAGCCATTTATAATCAGTTGTTTGGCTCCTTTTTAAATCATAATAATAACAGAAATCTCCCAAATGCTAGAGGTTACTGCACATCATTACTGCTAACTGGTTGCTAGAGATTACTGCAGATCACTACTGTTCACTGACTGGTTGCTAGAGGTTACTGCAGATCACTACTGTTCACTGACTGGTTGCTAGAGGTTACTGCACATCATTAACGCTCACTGACTGGTTGCTAGAGGTTACTGCACATCATTAACGCTCACTGACTGGTTGCTAGAGGTTGCTGCACATCATTAACGCTCACTGAGCAGTGGAGCAATTGCAAATAATTGAGCAAGCATTTATTTATTTATTTATTTTGGGTACTTATATAGCTCTGTCAATTTACGCAGTGCTTTACATATATATTGTACATTCACATCAGTCCCTAACCCTCAAGGGGTGTACAATCTAAGGTCCCTAACTTACATTCTTACATACTAGGGACAATTTAGCAGGAGCCAATTAACCCACCAAAATGTCTTTGGAGCGTGTCTACAATAGATGGTCAGAAACTGACATACTACAGGAGATGATCAGAGACTGCAGATATAATACAGGAGATGATCAGAGACTGCAGATATAATACAGGAGATGACCAGAGACTGCAGATATACTACTGGAGATGATTTGAGACTGCAAATATACTACAGGAGATGACCAGAGACTGCGGATGTACTATAGCAGATGACCAGAAACTGCAGATGTACCACAGGAGATGATCAGAGACTGCAGATGCACTACAAGAGAAGATCAGAGACTGCGGGTGTACTACAACAGATGACTAGAAACTGCATATGTACTACAGGAGATGATCAGAGACTGCGGGTGTACTACAACAGATGACTAGAAACTGCATATGTACTACAGGAGATGATCAGAGACTGCGGGTGTACTACAACAGATGACTAGAAACTGCATATGTACTACAGGAGATGATCAGAGACTGCGGGTGTACTACAACAGATGACTAGAAACTGCATATGTACTACAGGAGATGATCAGAGACTGCGGGTGTGTACTACAACAGATGACTAGAAACTGCATATGTACTACAGGAGATGATCAGAGACTGTGGGTGTACTACAGCAGATGTACTACAGGAGATGATCAGAGACTGTGGGTGTACTACAGCAGATGACCAGAAACTGCATATGTACTACAGGGGAAAAAGCGTACAATAGTAATGAGTTCAAAATGGAGTGGCGATGAAGCGACAAATGGAGATGAGGAAGTCCATAGTCAAAGGGTCCTAGGTGGTGGATGGATGGTGAAGGCAGCTCCCCCTAGAGCGGAGCAGAACTCTGTAGAAAATAAATCAGACACAAGGTGGCGTCAATCTCAGTGTAAAGGGTTAAAGATTTATTGGTAACAAGAGGTTTAAAAACTACTCACAAATGTAAAAAGTATGATAGCATGGTAAAGGAATGCCTTTGATAAGCCCCCAGTCTGCCAGTGATGTGAAGATGGATCCTGGTTGTACAGCATGAGCAGAGATGCAGCCGTCAGAGTTCAGCAATGCAGAGACTTTTTGAAAATGGCGCCGAAACCAGCATGAACAGCAAGGAAGTCAGGACCTCGGCAGGCAACCAATGGCAGGGCAGGAACAGGAGATGACTAGAGACTCTGGGTGTACTACAGCAGATGACCAGAAACTGCAGATGCACTACAGGAGAGGAGATGATTAGAGACTGAGCATGTACTGCAGCAGATGACCAGAAACTGCAGATGTACTACAGGAGATGATCAGAGACTGCGGGTGTACTACAGCAGATGACCAGAACTGCAGATGTACTACAGGAGATGATCAGAGACTGCAGATGTACTACAGGAGATGACCAGAGACTGCAGATGTACTACAGGAGATGATCAGAGACTGCGCGTGTACTGCAGCAGATGACCAGAAACTGCAGATGTACTACAGGAGATGATCAGAGACTGTGGGTGTACTACAACAGATGACCAGAAACTGCATATGTACTACAGGAGATGATCAGAGACTGCGGGTGTACTACAGCAGATGACCAGAAACTGCATATGTACTACAGGAGATGATCAGAGACTGCAGATGTACTACAGGAGATGATCAGAGACTGCAGATGTACTACAGGAGAGGACCAGAGACTGCAGATGCACTACAGGAGATGATCAGAGACTGCAGGTGTACTACAACAGATGACTAGAAACTGCATATGTACTACAGGAGATGATCAGAGACTGCAGACATAGTGCAGGAGATGACCAGAGACTGCGGACATAGTACAGGAGATGACCAGAGACTGCGGACATAGTACAGGAGATGACCAGAGACTGCAGACACAGTACAGGAGATGACCAGAGACTGCAGACATAGTACAGGAGATGACCAGAGACTGCAGACATAGTACAGGAGATGGCCAGAGACTGCAGACATAGTACAGGAGATGACCAGAGACTGCAGACATAGTACAGGAGATGACCAGAGACTACGGACATAGTACAGGAGATGACCAGAGACTGCGGACATAGTATAGGACATGATCAGAGACTGTGGACATAGTACAGGAGATGACCAGAGACTACGGACATAGTACAGGAGATGACCAGAGACTGCGGACATAGTACAGGAGATGACCAGAGACTGCAGACATAGTACAGGAGATGACCAGAGACTACGGACATAGTACAGGAGATGACCAGAGACTGCGGACATAGTACAGGAGATGACCAGAGACTGCAGACATAGTACAGGAGATGACCAGAGACTGCGGACATAGTACAGGAGATGACCAGAGACTGCGGATATACTACAGCAGATGACCAGAAACTGCATTTCATTTCAAAGTTCATTAACTCCTTCTGATAACGATCAGGTGTAAATGAATAAATAATAATAGAAAAAAGTTTTAGAAAATACAATTACAATAAAACATATTAAAAAATAAAAACGATTGCTATAACCCTGCACACATACGCACATGCAGCCCTGGGTGCGCACACGTATGTAAACCGCGGTCGCACAAGTGTGAGGTATCACTGCGAACATCAGAGTGCGAGCAATAATCCTAGCACAGGAGCTTCTGGTTATCTCTACACCAATGATCTGTTAAGGCTTTTAAAGTGGCACTTACGGAGATTTTTTGGTACTGACATGTTTTGCGATATCACAGGCGCACGCCATTTTAAGACGTGGCATGTTTGGCGTCTACTCCATGCAAACACATCTTTTATATTGTAAAAAAAAAATGGGTAATATATTTGTATGTGTTTGCACAAAAATTCATTTTATTCTATTTTTTTTTCCTGAAAATGAGCGTTTAATAAACAGTTTAAAATTTTGCGACCGTCATCCTTTTATTCTACAGGGCCTTTGCTTTCAGAAAATATATAATGTTCTGGGGGTTCAAGTCATTTTATTGAAGATTTTTACGTGTGCAAAAAAAAAAAAAGAAAAACATTTGCTCTGTTTTTTTTATATATTGTAAATATTAGTACAGTTTTTTTTTTTTTTTTTTATATTAGATTTAGTTTTACATGTAAACATTGCAGAGGAGTCAGCGTAGAAATACTTGCCTGCACAGATTCCTGTATGCCCTGTATGGAGAGTGGTGCGGGGAGGTGTCAGGCACTGTCATTGTTTGCAGTCTTTGTCTCCTGTGTGTAGAAGGTGTCCTGGGTAGAAGCTGTTGCCTGGGAAATGTTGTATATAACACAATCCCGGCTCTCCTCCCTGCCTTCCTCTACACTCTCTGCCTTTATATTTCAGCTGAGCCTAGCCTACAACTTTCCCCAAGAGCCAAGGAGATGGCCAGCGACACCCTGCGCCACTGACCAACGCCACCGACAATGCCAGCACGGGATTGGTGAGCCCAGACAAAGGTACGTCACCACAAACGAAATCCTCTTTAATCCCTTCACCGCCTGAGCGATTTTTTTTTCTTTTTTTCGCACACATGTTAAAACAGAAAATAACCTAAAACACCCCAAAATATACATTTTCTGTAGGAGGACCTGTAGGAGAAAGAGATGGTTTTTAGCAACGTCTCAATTTGCTCAATTGCTTTTTTAACGACTTCAACTCCGGGCCAATTCTGATACTTCTCACATGAATCTACCTTTTTTTTTTTTTGCTAGAAAATTACTTAGAACCATCAAACATAATTTTTTTCAGAGGCCCCAGAGGATAAAATGGTGGGTGGTGAAATTTTTTATGTCAAATTTGTACAGCGTATGTCAACAATGTGCAGCGTTTTTTCAAACAATTTTTTTGGGGAAAAAAATACTTTGATTAAATTTTTTTGCGCCCAAACACTATTTAATAATTTTTTGAACTATAAAAGATGATGTTATGCTGAGTAAATTCCTAACATATCACACTTTCAAGTTGTGTACACCTATAGAATGGTGTCAAACTACAGTACCGAAAAATCTCCAATAGGCAACAACTTTAAACTCCCTTACAGGTCACCAGTTTAGAGTTGCACTGAAGGTCTTGAGCTAAAATTATTACTCTCGCTCTGATGTTCGTAGCGATACCTCACGTGTGTGGCGTGATCACTGTTTACATGTGCACGCGGGACTTATTATTTTATATAAAAACGTTTTTTACACTCGTTTTATTTATTATTATTATTATTTCATTTAAAACTTTTTTTACACTCGCTTTATTTATTTCTATTATTATTATTATTTTATTTAAAACTTTTTGGTGGATCTATTGTCACTGGTGGGGATTTATTTTTTTTGGCATGGGTCTATTGTTGCTGGGGGTCTTATATGATAGTTGGCTCTGTGTTCGCTAAAAGGGACGGTACTGGGAGGTGGGTAGGGGGTGGAACCAAGCGACGTTACTTGAAGGTGGGTAGTTGGTGGAACCAAGGGACGTTACTTGAAGGTGGGTAGGGGATGGAACCAAGGGACGTTACTTGAAGGTGGGCAGGGGGTGGAACCAAGGGACGTTACTTGAAGGTGGGTAGGGGGTGGAACCAGGGAAGTTACTTGAAGGTGGGCAGGGGGTGGAACCAAGGGACGTTACTCGAAGGTGGGTAGGGGGGTGGAACCAAGGGACGTTACTTAAAGGTGGGTAGGGGTGGAACCAAGGGACATTACTCGAAGGTGGGTAGGGGGTGTAACCAAGGGACGTTACTTGAAGGTGAGCAGGGGGTGGAACCAAGGGACGTAACTTGAAAGTGTTTAGGGGGTGGAACCAAGGGACATTACTCGAATGTGGCTAGGGGGTGAACCAAGGGACATTACTCGAAGGTGGGTAAGGGGTGGAACAAAGGGACATTACTCAAAGGTAGATAAAGGGTGGAACCAGGAGACATTACTTGAAGGTGGGTAGGGGGTGGAACCAAGGAACGTTACTCAAAGGTGGGTAGGGGGTGTAACCAAGGGACGTTACTTGAAGGTGGGCAGGGGGTGAAACCAAGGGACGTAACTTGAAGGTGGGTAGGGGGTGGAATCAAGGGACGTTACTTAAAGGTGGGTAGGGGTGGAACCAAGGGACATTACTCGAAGGTGGGTAGGGGGGTGTAACCAAGGGACGTTACTTGAAGGTGAGCAGGGGGTGGAACCAAGGGACGTAACTTGAAAGTGTTTAGGGGGTGGAACCAAGGGACGTTACTCGAATGTGGCTAGGGGGTGGAACCAAGGGACATTACTCGAAGGTGGGTAAGGGGTGGAACCAAGGGACATTACTCAAAGGTAGATAAAGGGTGGAACCAGGAGACATTACTTGAAGGTGGGTAGGGGGTGGAACCAAGGAACGTTACTCAAAGGTGGGTAGGGGGTGGAATCAAGGGACATTACTTGAAGGTGGGCAGGGGGTGGAACCAAGGGACGTTACTCGAAGGTGGGTAAGGGGTGGAACCAAGGGACGTTACTTGAAGGTGGGCAGGGGGTGGAACCAAGGGATGTTACTCAAAGGTGGGTAGGGGGTGGAACCAAGGGACGTTACTTGAAGGTGGGTAGGGAGCGGAGACAAGAGGTGGCTCAAAAGGTAGGAAGTTCCTGCACCTCTGCTCTGAGAAAAAAAGCCTGCTTTAACCCCTTGATGCTGAGCGCATGAAAATATGCAGCCTCTCGGCGTCTGGGCCTTGGTGCCGAGCGGCCGCATATTTGCATGCCATTAGAAAATACATACGTGCTGAGAGCTCGCTCCCAGCACATATGTCCGTGACTCACGGAAAGGTCCCCGATACGATCTCCACTTTCGATTGGGACCTTTTCCGATCATGTGACCACCGTGACAGCGATTCACGGCGGTCACATGACCCTAAACCCCACCCGCCTCCTGAAAACTCTTTAAGGGCCGGGAGGCGCCGGCGCAAAGTGATTAAGGTCCCGTTTACAAGGCTAAAAACAGAAAACTAATGCAGCCAGCACATCTAAGGACTGGTAAACTGGAAAATATTTAGGTTTAGATACCCTTTCCATTTTTTTCCATTCTGTGTGGCATGGGACACCCCCTTGCCAGGTCTTTATATACAGTTGTGTCCAAAATTATTCAACCCCCAATGCTGTAAAGGGGTTTAGGGACTATAGTACATTTGGAATTGTATTCAGAATCAAATCCTACAAGGACGTTGTAACTACCCAAATGCAACTAAAATGACATCAATTGTTTATGTAATACAGTAGTAAATGGTTCTTATGTGGTTTCTTCATTGCCACAATTATTCAACCCCTTAAAGACTACCACTCTGAAGAACAGAGGTTCATACAGGTGCTTTCCATCAGGTATTGAAAACACCTGTGGATGTCACCGAGCAGCAATCAAGCATAATAAGCACCAATTAGGCAGCTTTAAAATGACTGTGATACTCAGCTCCTTCTAGACATTTACTGGTGTGGTTACAAACATGGTGAAGGCAAGAGAATGGTCCAGGAAGACAAGAGAAGAGGTGATTTCTCTTCACAGGAAGGGCAATGGCTATAAGAAGATTGCAAAGATGTTAAACATACCAAGAGACACCTTAGGAAGCATCATTCGCAAATTCAAGGCAAAGGGCACTGTTGAAACGCTACCTGGTCGTGGCAGAAAGAAGATGCTGACTTCGACTGCTGTGCGCTACCTGAAGCGTAGAGTGGAGAGAAGTCCCCGTGTGACTGCTGAGGAACTGAGAAAAGATTTGTCAGATGTGGGTACAGAAGTTTCAGCCCAGACAATAAGACGCACACTGCGTAATGAAGGCCTCCGTGCCAGAACTCCAGGCGTACCCCCTTGCTGTCTCCAAAGAATAAGAAGAGTCGACTGCAGTATGCCAAAAGCCATGTGGACAAACCACAAAAGTTGTGGGATAGTGTTCTGTGGACTGATGAAACAAAATTAGAACTGTTTGGGCCCATGGATCAACGCTATGTTTGGAGGAGGAAGAACAAGGCCTATGATGAAAAGAACACCTTGCCTACTGTGAAGCATGGTGGAGGGTCAATCATGCTTTGGGGCTGTTTTGCTTCTGCAGGTACAGGGAAGCTTCAGCGTGTGCAAGGTACCATGAATTCTCTTCAGTACCAGGAGATATTGGATGGAAACGTGATGCAGTCCGTCACACACCTGAGGCTTGGGAGACGTTGGACCTTTCAACAGGACAATGATCCCAAGCATAACCTCCAAGTCCACTAGAGCATGGTTGCAGAGGAAAGGCTGAAACATTTTTGGAGTGGCCATCGCAGTCACCAGACTTAAATCCGATTGAGAACCTCTGGTGGGACTTAAAGAAAGCAGTTGCAGTGCGCAAGCCTAAGAATGTGACTGAACTGGAGGCCTTTGCCCATGAAGAATGGGCGAAGATACCCGTAGATCGCTGCAAGACACTTGTGTCAAGCTATGCTTCACGTTTTAAAAGCTGTTATAACTGTAAAAGGATGCTGTACTAAGTACTAAGATTGAATGTCACTTGGGGGTTGAATTAAAACTGATAATGCTGTGAGCACAGAAAAGACATTTGTGGTTATTTCATTATAACTGTTATGTTATATTTGTCTGACCTACAAGTGCCTCTTTAATGTAAATGTAAGCAAGATGACTGAATGATCAAAAGCAATGTCAAACTGGCCAAAACACTCAATTTCAGTGGGGGTTGAATAATTTTGGACACAACTGTATGTGTTGGTATGCAATGATGAGACGGTTCTCCAAGCCTGGCATGGTTCCAAAGCTTTGTAGCCAAGTCATTGATGACACCAACCAGCAGGACTTATCCCCCTCCAGACTATGCAGAAAGTTAGAGCCTTGTGGAATATTTTAATATGGAGCCACCGAATTTGTGAAAAAAAAATAATAGTCCTCCCCCCCAGCCTGCAGAAGTCTATATTCAACCTTTCCTTCTGATTTACCATCACCAGCTGAAGGGTGATATCTGGCATCATGTGTACTTGACAGATTTCTGCCAGGCTCTATCACTGTTTTTGGCCATTCCAGTAAGGAACAGAAGCGAGTGAGAGCATGGGTATTCCAGGCCGGGAGTTTATTAGATATACCTGATGCCTGGTAACCTTTATACCCCTGGAGAACCATTACAATCATTTTCAGGTCTTTGGGAACCCCAGCTAAAATTCATTTATAGGGTATTAGTGTGTAGTATGCCTCTTGTTGAGGTTGGTGGTCAGAGATGAATGTCCCACTTACCGTGGTAGTCAAAATGCTAACCTTAGATGACCAAATTGGTGTCGTGCTCTGCCAAGTAGCGTTGGACCAGAACTACTTGGTTCTGTATTCTCTAAAAGTGGCGGTACTGGGAGGTGGGTAGGGGCTGGAACCAAGGGACGTTACTCAAATCATATGAGGGGTTAATGAGCCACAAGTCAAAGTTCCCCTTAAAAGAAACCCATGGTCTTCACAAAACCCTGGTTGAGAAAGGCTGGCCTTTGTGATCCAATATAGTGAAGGGAAAGTCCAGCTGTGGGTTCCCTTACCACATGCCACACCAAAGTCATCACAGACTACCTATGCTGACTGATTTAGGCAATAAGCCACAGCTCAAAGAATTCCCTAGCAACATCTGGAGGAACCCTAGGGTTTTTAGCGAGGGAAGGAAGTGAATGATGGCATGGGTACCCCAATTAAGGAGCTAACTAGTTGTACCTAGTACTTCACAACCTTTTACCACAAGAGGAACCATTGAAATAATGTTCAGGTCTCAGGGAACACCAGGTAAAATTAATTTATTATGGGTAAGTAAGTCGTATGCCCCGTAGACTAATGGTCAGAGAAGAATGCCTTACTTATAGTAGTGGACAAAATGCCTCCCTTTCAAATGGTCAAACAGATTATTGGCAGCATGCAGCTGGCTCTGCCAAGTGGTGTTGGATCCAGTCAATCAGCCACAACTCAAAGGATCCTCTAGCCACCTCTGGAGGAAAACTACAGTTTCCAATGAAAAAAGGCATGAGTGAGGGCATGGGTACCCCCCACTCAAGGAAAGGTATTAGATGTACTCAGAGCCTAACAGAGGAACCATTGAAATAACTTTCAGGTCTTGGTGAAACCCAGCTAAAATTATTTTATTGGCGGTAAGTGGGTAGTATGCCCCTTACGTTAGTGGTCAGAGAAGAATGCCTTATTTACAATGGTAGTCAAAATGCCACCCTTACAAATGGTCAAGCAGATCATTAGTGGCATGCAGTTGGTTCTGCCAAGTGAAGTTGGACCCAGAAGTATGCAGGCACCACCATATGGGAACTTAATCAGCCGCAACTCAAAGGATCCTCTAGCCACCTCTGAAGGAACCCTAGGGTTTCCAATTAGAAAAGGAAGTGCATGAGTACCCCAATCAAGGTACCTATTAGATGTACCTGGTGCCTAACAACCTTTTTGCTCCAGAGGAACCATTTAAATAATGTTCAGGTCTCAGGGAACCCCAGCTAAAATGCATTTATCAGGAATATATGTGTAGTATGCCCCTTTCATTGGTGCTCAGAGAAGAATGCCCCGCTTACAGTAGTTGGCAAAATGCTACACTTACAGATGGCAAAAAAGACCATTGGTGTCATTTAGCTTGTTCTGCCAAGTGGTGTTGGACCCAGAAATATGCAGGCACCATCATATGGAAGGTCAATCAGCCACAACTCAAAGCAGCCTCTGGAGGAACCCTAGGGTTTCAGGAACTCTTTTGAGCAGAGGTCTCCAAACTTTTCAGACAAAGGGCCAGTATACTGTCCTTCAGGCTTTAGGAGGGCTGGATTAGGGCCAGCGCTGATAGAAAATGTCCTGGCCCCCAGCATCAGTGAGCATAAACATGGCCACAGGGTTGATGGTCAGTAGGAGGAGTAGAGCCCCATCACTGGTATTAATAGGAAGAATAGTGCCCCATCATTGGTTTCAATGGAAGAAGTACTGCCCCATTGTTGGTTTCAGTGGGAGCAATAGTGCCCCAAGGGCTGGATAAAGGGTGCCAAAGGACCACATCTGTCCCTCAGGCCGCAGTTTGGAGACCCCTGCTTTAGAGAATGACAGGCCTATTGGATTCAATATAGTGAGGGAAAGTCCAGCTGCAGGATCTCTCCCCATGGTGGCATCTTGTGACCCACCAGAGTTATCACACACCACCTATGCAGACTGGTTCAGTTCATTTCATCTTATATCTTCCAAATGGTTTGGTTTGCAGTTGGGATCATCTCAGCCACCATGTCTCGGCGACGGTTGGAGGAAGCCATTCTTAGATCCAAAGAGTTGGAGAGCTCTGGAGAGAGCGTAGAAGAGGGCTCTGACGATGACGAGAGATATGGGGAACTCTTTGTGAGATACCGCATCCCGTTGAGCAAAGACACACACAGTATTTACAGCCTCCGCTTTTCCCCTAGTGGGAAACAACTGGCTGTAGATTTGGAAATGGCGCCATTCAGGTAAGTGATTGTCCATATCAAAATTTATTTTTTTAAAGGAAAATTACAAAAATCACATCATATTAAGTAACAATAATAAAGTATAGCGCCTTAAAAGGCTGCAGCTAGATCGCTGCAATCTGAAAATCTAGTGCCCCCTGCTGACTGAAGAGCTATAGGTATGTCTCAGCAACCCATATGGAAGAAAAATATATTTGAAACACACTTTAAAAATATTCTTCCCAAATATATTGCCATCTATTTGAAATAGTACAATTTTGGCCCGTATTCAATATATTTAAAAAAATAAAATAAAAATATCTATATATATACTTTTTATAAAGTGTGTGTGTATATAATATATATATATATATATATATATATATATATATATATACTTTATTTATATATATATATGTTTATATATATATAAATATATATACTTTATATATATATATATACTTTATTTATATATATATATATACACTTTATTTTTATATATATATATATATATATATACTTTATATATATATATATATATATATTATATATATATACTTTATTTATATATGTATATATATATAATATATATATATTTATATATTATATATAAAATATATACTTTATTTTTATGTATATATATATGTATATACTTTATTTTTTATATATATATATAAATATATATATATACTTTATTTTTATATACAATATATATATATATACATACTTTATTTTATATATATATATATATATTTACTTTATTTATATATATATATATATATACTTTATTTATATATATATATATATATACATACTTCTTTATATATATATATTTTATATATAAATATAAAATAAATAAAATAATAAATTATATACAGTCATGGCCGAAATTGTTGGCACCCTTGATATTTCTCCAGGAAATCATGTATTTCTCACGAAACGTATTGCATTAACACATGTTTTGCTATACACATGTTTTACCCTTTGTGTGTATTGGGACAAAACAAAAAAAGGGAGGAAAGAAAGCAAATTCGACATAATGTCACACAAACCTCCAAAAATGGGCTGGACAAAAGTATTGGCACCCTTTCACAACTGCGGATAAATAAGAATGTTACAAGCATGTGATGCTCCTGTAAACTCACCTGGGGCAAGTAACAGGTGTGGGCAATATAGAAATCACACCTGAAAGCAGATAAAAAGGAGAGACGTTCACTTAAACCTTTGCATTGTGTGTCTGTCTGTGCCACACTAAGCATGGACAACAGAAAGAGGAGACGAGAACTGTCTGAGGACCTGAGAACCAAAATTGTGGCAAAATATCAACAATCTCAAGGTTACAAGTCCATCTCCAGAGAACTAGATTTGCCTTTGTCCACAGTGCGCAACATTATCAAGAAGTTTGCAACCCATGGCACTGTAGCTAATCTCCCTGGTCGTGGACGGATGAGGAAAATTGATGAAAGATTGCAACGCAGAATAGTCCGGATGGTGGATAAGCAGCCCCAAACATGTTCCAAAGACATTCAAGCTGTCCTGCAGGCTCAGGGAGCATCAGTGTCAGCGCGAACTATCCGTCGACATTTAAATGAAATGAAACGCTATGGCAGGAGACCCAGGAGGACCCCACTGCTGACACAGAGACATAAAAAAGCAAGACTACAGTTTGCCAAAATGTACTTGAGTAAGCCAAAAGCCTTCCTGGAAAAACGTCTTGTGGACAGATGAGACCAAGATAGAGCTTTTCGGTAAAGCACATCATTCTACTGTTTACCGAAAACGGAATGAGGCCTACAAAGAACAAAACACAGTACCTACGGTAAAATATGGTGGAGGTTCAATGATGTTTTGGGGTTGTTTTGCTGCCTCTGGCACTGGGTGCCTTGACTGTGTGCAAGGCATCATGAAATCTGAGGATTACCAAAGGATTTTGGGTCGCACTGTAGGGCCCAGTGTCAGAAAGCTGGGTTTGCGTCCAAGATCCTGGGTCTTCCAGCAGGACAATGACCCCAAACATACGTCAAAAAGCACTCAGAAATGGATGGCAAAGAAGCGCTGGAGAGTTCTGAAGTGGCCAGCAATGAGCCAGATCTAAATCCCATTGAACACCTGTGGAGAGATCTTAAAATTGCTGTTGGGAAAGGTGCTCCTGTCCTTCCAATAAGAGAGACCTGGAGCTGTTTGCAAAGGAAGAGTGGTCCAAAATTCCGGTTGTGAGAGGTGTCAGAAGCTTTTGATGGTTATAGGAAGCGACTGATTTCAGTTATGTTTTCCAAAGGGTGTGCAACCAAATATTAAGTTAAGGGTGCCAATACTTTTGTCCAGCCCATTTTTGGGGTTTTGTGTGACATTATGTCATATTTGCTTTTCTGCCTCTGTTTTATATTTGTTCCAATACATACAAAGGGAATAAACATGTGTATAGCAAAACATGTGTTAATGCAATACCTTTTTTGTGTGAAATACTTGATTTTCAGGAAAAATATCAAGGGTGCCAACAATTTCGGCCATGACTGTATATATATATATATTATTATATATATATATATATATATATGTACACTGCATGTGTTGAAATGCGTTTGTATTACAAAATATATGAAAAAATATTATTACAAATACATTTAAAATATACTGTATGTCTTTAAAAATACAAATCTACATTTTTGGAACGCATTTACGAATATGTGTAAAAATATATGTTAAAATTATTTTTTTTTATGTTAAAAAAAAATCTGAAGAATATATTTACTGTGGCTGCTTTTTAAAGGAAATAAACTGTAAGACGTGGCACACATTTTATAATGCACCGGGAATTTATTCAGCAGATTTAAGCTGTTAAGTGAATTCATTGTAAAAGTTTCATTGTGCTTTAACCACTTCAATACTGAGCACTTTTCCCCCCTTGCTGCCGAGGCCAGTTTTCAGCTTTCAGCGTTGTACTTTGAATGAAAGTTGCATGGGCATGCAATACTGTACCCATAAAAAATGTATATAATTTTTTTTCAGGCAAATAGAGCTTTCTTTTGGTGGTATTTAATCACCACTGTATTTTATTTTTTTTTGTTAAATAAACAACAAAAAAATAAACTTTAAAAAAACCCACGTTTTTCTTCATTTCTGTTATAAAATTTTGCAAATAAATAGCCTTTCTTCATAAATTTAGGTCAAAATATATTCTGCTACGTTTTCTTTGGTGAAAAATACCCCCAAATCAGTGTATATTATTTAGTCTTTAGGAAAGTTATAGAGTCCACAAACCATCTGACAATCTATCAAATCTGATGTACTGACGGCCAATCTTATTTTGTGAGGACCGAAAATGCCAGGATAGTACAAATACCACCCAAAATGACCCATTTTTGGCAAATAGACAGTTCAAGGTATTTAGTAGGAGGAATAGCAAGTTTTTTTAAGTTGTAATTTTTTGTCATAATTTTTTATAAAATGAAGAAATTCAAGAATTGAAATATTTTTTATTTTTTTTTTTACATATGGTCACCAGTCCAGTACAGTGTTATCCTATAACTGGTGTGGCGGTGATCAGGGACACTGATTGGTGACAGTATGTAAAAAAAAAAGGAAAAAGAATAATAATTAAATTTTTATTTTTTTCAATTTTTTATTATTTTTTTTCTTTTTTATTACATTTTTTTAATTTATTTATTTATTTTTTTCAACACACTGTGACCAGAGCAATCAGCAACATAGTACTACTCTGGGCAAGTGATCAGGATTTTATTTTTTTTTACACATTATGATTGATGATACCAATGTATTTCTCTGATATTAGCAACCATTTTTACTGAATGAAACTGATTCGAAGTCTTTTGTTGTGATTAGCTGTGATTGGGCAAAGCTCATTACATGGTACCAGGGGCGGACTGACCATTTGGAAACTCAGGTACTGCCCGAGGGCCCAGGGTCAGTAGGGGGCCCCATGAGATGCCCCTGGTACCTTTTTCATAGGCTTTTTTGAGTTTGGGCAAGGGCACAGGGGCCCCATGATCCCCTATTGCCCGGGGGCCCCATGAGTTGTCAGTCCGCCCCTGCATGGTACATATGGACTGTGATCGGCCCTGTCTGTACCATGTGACCGCTGTGACCAATCAAAGCTAGCAACAAGGATGGCATGAAAGGAAGCTATCCATTATTTACAATTGCCATGTAATCTGCTGTGATTGGTCATGACGGTCACATGACACTGGCAGCAGGCCTGTGTAGTGATCTGTCATTTGCTCACTCAGAAGGAGGAGTGTCCTGCCCGGCCTATAGCAGATTGACGGCCAGGCAGGACACACCTCCTTCTGAGTGATCATATGTGTTAAAGTCTTGCGAAGTTGTACAGCCTCCTCTTCTGTACTGAAATGAGGTGATTTCACGGCAAATTTTGAGCTTCTGACATTGTGCAATAAAGGCTGAACAAAGTGAGGTGGCGCACACATCATTTCCTGGTGGGAGGACATCCAGCACCATCTAGCCCTTTCCACCCCAGCCCATCCCTTAGATCATTGGCTTTAGGTTCAGTCATAGGAGAGCATCACAGGTAGGTATTAACTAGAATGGTCTGTGTGCAAATGCAGCCTGTCAAGGAACACGTCCTCCTGGACTGACATCCATCCATCCAACAAGGCATTGGGATATTTTCATAACCCCTCCTAGGAGCCAGTCCACTGCTTACATTGGGCCTGATGGCATTGGAGAGGAGTACTGAGGCAGGGTGCTGTGATGTTTTCCAGAAGCTATGTACAGTACCTTGCCGGCCTTGACCATCAACCATGATCTGCCTGCATTGCATAGAGAAGCACAGAGGTCCAATGCTGACATAAATGGATCTAAAAATAAATGAAGTAATGAAAATGGAAAGGTTTTATTTAACAATTTCCTCAGCGTGTTGATGGGGAATCGGGGAGCAGATCAAACTTCAGCTTTAACTAATTCCCTGGTTTGATCAGAGGCGAACCTTGAGGGCCGGTTCACACTATAGAAACGCAGTCCAGATGCGTTCCGGATGCATTTTGCATGCACGTTTTTGCTGCGTTCCGGTGCGTTTTTTATGAGATCCAGTTCAGTTCATTTTCCCCTCTCTTTTTCTTCAATTTAAATAGGGACATGTGTGTTAAGGTGCGTTTTACTGCGTTCCAGTACAGTTCTGTGCGGAAAAAATGCAGCCTGTTTTAAATTTTTCTTCTTCAACTGGAACTGCAAGCACTGATGTGAACCAGGGGCGGACTGACCATTTGGAAACTCGGGCACTGCCCGAGGGCCCGGGGTCATTAGGGGGCCCCATGAGATGCCCCTGGCATCTTTTTCATAGGCTTTTTTGAGTTTGGGCAAGGACACAGGGGCCCCATGATCCCCTATTGCCCGGGGGCCCCATGAGTTGTCAGTCCGCCCCTGATGTGAACTATGACACTGACAACCATATAACCTACACACTATAGAAACGCAGTCCAGAAGTGTTCCGGGTGCTTTTTTGCATGTGCGTTTTTGACACATTTTTGGTGCGTTTTTGATGCTTTCCAGTTCATTTTCTCCTCTCTCTTTTTCTTCAATTTAAATAGGGAAATGGGCATTCCAGTGCGTTTTTGGTGCGTTCCAGTGCATTTTTGATGGTTTTTACTGCGTTCCAGTACAGTTCTGTGCAGAAAAAATGCAGCCTGCTCTACTTTCTTTTCTGCACCCGGAACGCACAGGAACTGCAAGCAATGATGTGAACTATGACATTGACAACCATATAACCTACTTTCTATGCGTTTTGGATGCAGAAAAAAAGCAACTGAAACGCATGTAGCGTGAACTGGCCCTGAAAACAGTACATAGGACAGAGTTGTTTAGAGTCGCAGAGGCAAAGAGGAGACCACAGACACCTTAAAGGAAATCTCTTAAGGCCGGTTCAGACTATAGAAACGCAGTCCAGATGCGTTCCGGATGCGTTTTTGCATGTGCGTTTTTGACACATATTTGGTGTGTTTTTGGTGTTTTTGACGTGTTCCAGTGCGTTTTTTTTGCATTCCAGTTCATTTTTTCCTCTTTCTTCAATTTAAATAAGGACATGTGCATTTCAGTGCGTTTTTGGTGCGTTCCGGTGCATTTTTGATGCTTTTTATCGCGTTCCAGTACAGTTCTGTGCAGAAAAAATGCATCCTGTTCTACTTTTGTTCTGCACCCGGAACGCACTGGCACTGCAAGCACTGATGTGAACTAAGACACTGACAACCATATAACCTACACACTATAGAAATGCAGTCCAGATGTGTTCCGGATGCGTTTTTGCATGCGTGTTTTTGACACATTTTGGCATGTTTTTGGTGCATTTTTGACGCGTTCCAGCACTTCCAGTTCATTTTCTCCTCTCTTTTTTTTCTTCAATTTAAATAGGGACATGTGCATTCCAGTGCGTTTTTGGTGCATTCTGGTTGATTTTTTATACGTTTTACCACGTTCCAGTACAGTTCTGTGCAGAAACAACCATGTAACCTACTTTCTATGCGTTTTGGATGCAGAAAAAAAGCAACTGAAACGCATGTAGCGTGAACTGGCCCTGAAAACAGTACATAGGACAGAGTTGTTTAGAGTCGCAGAGGCAAAGAGGAGACCACAGACACCTTAAAGGAAATCTCTTAAAGCCGGTTCAGACTATAAAAATGCAGTCCAGATGCGTTCCGGATGCGTTTTTGCATGTGCGTTTTTGACACATATTTGGTGTGTTTTTGGTGTGTTTTTGACGTGTTCCAGTGCGTTTTTTTTGCATTCCAGTTCATTTTTTCCTCTTTCTTCAATTTAAATAAGGACATGTGCATTTCAGTGCGTTTTTGGTGCGTTCCGGTGCATTTTTGATGCTTTTTATCGCGTTCCAGTACAGTTCTGTGCAGAAAAAATGCATCCTGTTCTACTTTTGTTCTGCACCCGGAACGCACTGGCACTGCAAGCACTGATGTGAACTAAGACACTGACAACCATATAACCTACACACTATAGAAATGCAGTCCAGATGAGTTCCGGATGCGTTTTTGCATGCGTGTTTTTGACACATTTCTGGCATGTTTTTGGTGCATTTTTGACGCGTTCCAGCACATTCCAGTTCATTTTCTCCTCTCTTTTTTTCTTCAATTTAAATAGGGACATGTGCATTCCAGTGCGTTTTTGGTGCATTCCGGTGGATTTTTTATACGTTTTACCACGTTCCAGTACAGTTCTGTGCAGAAACAACCATGTAACCTACTTTCTATGCGTTTTGGATGCATAAAAAAAGCAACTGAAACGCATGTAGCGTGAACTGGCCCTGAAAACAGTACATAGGACACAGTTGTTTAGAGTCGCAGAGGCAAAGAGGAGACCACAGACACCTTAAAGGAAATCTCTTAAGGCCGGTTCAGACTATAATTACGCAGTCCAGATGCGTTTTTGCATGTGCGTTTTTGACACATTTGTGGCGCATTTTTGGTGTGTTTTTTATGCATTCCAGTTCATTTTTTCCTCTCTCTTTTTCTTCCATTTAAATAGGGACATGAGCATTGCAGTGCGTTTTTGGTGCGTTCTGGCACGTTTTTGCTGTGTATTACCGCGTTCCAGTACAGTTCTGCGTAGAAAAATTGCAGCCAGGGGTGGACTGACCATTTGGAAACTCGGCCACTGCCCGAGGGCCCGGGGTTAGTAGGAGGCCCCATGAGATGCCCCTGGTACCTTTCATAGGCATTTTTGGGTGTAGTTTGAGTTTGGGCGAGGACAAAGGGGCCCCATGATCCCCTATTGCCTGGGGACCCCATGAGTTGTCAGTCCGCCCCTGATTGCAGCTTTTTCTACTTTTTGTTCTGCACAGGAACTGCAAGCACTGATGTGAACTATGACACTGACAGCCATATAACCTACTTTCTGTGCGTTTTGGATGCAGAAAAAAGGCAACTGAAATGCGTGGTGTGAACCAGGCCTTAGTAGTTTGCTAGTCGCCTGGCTGTAAACCTAGGAAATCCGTTCTCTATCTCAGTAGGACGATGGAATGTGTCAGCACTTCATAAACGAATTTCATTCCATTGATTATTTCAGATTGTGAACACCGAGAGCGGCTCTCTGGCCTCCACTCTCTTCTGCGGACATCGCACCAGGCAAGCCATCACCGCACTCAATTACCACCCAAAGAACAGCAACATCCTGGTGGGGGCCGGAGCGGACGGTCTGCTCTCCTTTTATGATGTCCAGTCTGAGATCAATGTTCTCACTATAACAGGTATGGTACTCCCGCCTCTGCGTGACATGCCGCAGCCCCTCATTGTATCGGAAGACTGGTATATAAATACACGGAAAAGACATAAAAAAGTCTGTTCTCAATAAATAGGTAAGTAGGGAGATAGGCACCATGAGATGCCAGATCATACCATTAGCATGGCAGCCTGACTCCCCAAAATATCCTCTGTCAATTGAATGGAGAATTAAAGAATAGAATAGAATAAAACAGCATAGAAAATAAAAGAAATAATAAAACAACAGAATAGAAAATAAAGGAATAGAACAGAACAGCATAGAATTTCATAAAATAGAATAGAGTAGAATAAAACAGAATAGAATTAAAAAATAGAATATAATACAATAGAAAAGAATAGAATAAAATAGTATATATAATAAATAGTATGTGTATGTATGAATGTAAGTTAGGGAGTTTAGATTTTACACCCATTGTGGGTTAAGGCAGCACAGTGGCTAAATGGGTAGCACTTCCGCCTGACAGTACTAGGGTCGTTGGTTCGAATCCCAACCGTGACCTAGATGTACTGACAGCTAATTTCATTTATTGAGGCTCTTAAAATGCCAGGACAGTACAAATACCCCCCCAAATGACCCCTTTTTGGAAAGTAGACAGTTTGAGGTATTTAACCATTTCAATACCGGGCACTTTTACCCCCTTCCTGCCCAGGCCATTTTTCAGGTTTCAGCACTCTCACACTTTGAATGACAATTGCGCGGTCATACAATATTGTACCCAAACTAAAATTGTATAATTTTCTTCACACAACTAGAGCTTTCTTTTGGTGGTATTTAATCACTCCTGGGGTTTTTATTTTTTGCTAAATTAACAAACACGTTTTTCTTTGTTTCTGTTACAAACATTTGCAAATAAATAATTGTTCTTCATAAATTTAGGCCGAGATATTCTGCTACATGTCTTTGGTGAAAATAACCCAAATTAGGATGTATTATTGTAGTTTGTAGGAAGGTTATAGAGTTCACAAACTATGGTATAGATCTGAATATTGATCAATCCTGAAGTACTGACAGCCAATCTAATTTCTTGAGGTCCAAGAATGTCAGAATAGTACAGATATCCCCCAAATGACCCCTTTTTGCAGAGTAGACAGTCCGACGTACTTCATAAGAGGCATGGCGAGTTTTTTGAAGTTGTATTTTTTTTTCATAATTTTTCAGAAAATAAAAAAATTAAAAAAAATTATTTTCACTATTTTTTTTTTTTACATACTGTCACCAGTGCAGTACAGCGTCATCATATAACTGGCATGGCGGTGATCAGGGACACTGACTGGTGACAGTGTGAAAAAAAATATATATATATATTTTTTTTTATTATTTAAAATTTTTTATTACTTTTTTTCTTTTTTTTAAGATTTTTTTTTCACATTTCACTATGTTCAAAGTAGTACAATGTTACCATAGTAACATTGTACTACTTTGGGGAAGTGATCAGTATTTTTTTTTTTTTACACAATTTGCTTATAGCAAAGAATTACTTTGCTATAAGCAAGCATTTACCTGAATGATATTGATTCATTCAGGGTTTTTTTTTTTTGTGCTTAGCTGTGATTTGGCCACAGCTAATCACATGACATGTGCATGTGATTACCTGTGACCATTCACAGCTAGACACTGGCGGCCTCCCGGAAAGCTAGTACATTTTTCCGGATGCCATTCGGCCATAGGCCAGGCGTCAAATGGTTAAAAAGAGGCATGGTGAGTTTTCTGAAGTTGCAATTTTTTGTCACAATTTTTTTGAAAATTAAGAAATTAAATATTTTTTCACATTTTTGTTTTTACAAACTGTCACCAGTGCGGTACAGTGTCATCATCATATGACTGGTGTGGTGGTGATCAGAGATACTGACTGGTGACAGTTTGTTAAAAAAGTAATTTTTTTTAGTTTTTTTAAATGTCTTAACATTTTTTTTATTATTTTTGTACTCTTTTTCATACTCTCATCAGTGTAGTTTAGTGTGACACTGTGCTACACTTGGATTGCTGGTACAATGATGATCATTGTAACAGCAATGTTTTCAACTGTCATGAATGAGTTACATTCAAAGTAGCTGTGATAACAACCCATGCAATCCATACATACAAAGAAACCAAAACAAGTAAGTGCTGAAATTAAATTATGTGTAATAAAATGGAATGACACCTTGAAAAAGTATTGAACACATGAAGAAAGGGAGGTGCAAAAAGGCATGGAAAGCCAGGACACCAGCTGAAATCTATCAGTAATTAGAAAGCAATCCTGCCCATTGTCAGTGCAAATTAATATCAGCTTGTTCAATCTCAACTGATGGCCTATAAAAAGATGTCTCTTTACCAAGATGTAAACATCCCATGTTGGATAAAAGGAAAGAGCTTTCTCAAGACCTTCACAACCTTATTGTTGCAAAAAGTGGCATTGGTTACAGAAGGATTTCTAAACGTCTGAATGTTCAAGTGAGCACTGTTGGGGCCATAATCTGGAAGTGGAAAGAACATCATTTCACCATAAACCGCCCACAACCTGGTGCTTCTCACAAGATTTTTTGCAGAGAAGTGAAAATAATTACCAGAAGAGTTGTCCAAGAGCCAAGGACCTCTGTGGAGAGCTTCAAAAAGACCTGGAATTAGCAGGCACAAATGTTTCCAAGAAAACAATAAGTAATGCACTCAACCGCCATGGCCTGTATGCACGCTCCCCATGCAAGACTCCATTGCTGAAGAAAAAGCAAGTTGAAGCTTGTTTTAAAGTTTGCTGCACAACATTTAAACAAGCCTGTGAAATACTGGGAGAATATAGTCTGGTCAGATGAGACCAAAATGGAACTCTTTGGATGCCATAATACACACCATGTTTGGAGGTCACATGGCACTGCACATCACCCCAAAAACACCATCCCAACAGTGAATCATGAAGGTGGAAGGAACATCATAGCGGGGGGGGGGGGCTGTTTTTCAGCATACGGTACTGCCAAACTTCACGTCATTGAAGGAAGGATGAATGGAAAAATGTATCATGACATTCTTGATAAAAATCTGCTTCCATCTACCAGGAGGATGAAGATGAAACGAGGGTGGACATTTCAGAAAGACAATGATCCCAAACACAAAGCCAAGGAAGCTCTCAACTGGTTTCAAAGAGAGAAAATAAAGCTGCTAGAATGGCCCAGCCAATCACCTGACTTGAATCCAATAGAAAATCTATGGAAAGAACTAAAGATCAGAGTTCATTCATGTGGCTCACAAAACCTTCAAGATCTGAAGTCTGTTCGGAAGCATGGGCCAACATCACACCTGAGCAATGTATGCGACTAGTTTCTCCAAACAGGAAGTGTTTTATTACAAATAACTTCATTTCTGAACTTATTTGTTTTGGTTTCTTTGTATGTATGGATCGCATGGGTTGTTACCGACATGTGGTGAAAATTTCATGTCAATAGCACTTTTAGAAATACATTTACCAAGAAAAATGGTGACGCGTTCAATTTTACCCGCTGAAGATGGTGGAGTCTGCTCTAGCTACAAAGGGAAGCCAACTCTATATTAACGCCCATGGAGTTGGGATGGGATATCCAAGCGTATATAGGTGTACTAGTCTGTAATATATGTAAAATAGGTGTAATAGTCTGTAATATATGTAAAATAGTTGTAATAGTCTGTAATATATAGTCTGTAAAATAGGTGTAATAGTCTAGGTGTTCAGACTTTGGACCTTCTAGTCTACATAGTCTGGGGTTTTTCCTGCTGATTGAAGTCACAGTACATTTTAACTGTTTTATCATTACAGAGCCAGAAAATGAGATCCATGCCATGGATTACAGCATGGACGGTAGTGTTTTTGCCACGGCTGGGAAAGACCGCCACATCCGTCTTTATGACAGTCACACCAGCGAGGTAACATAGTGTCCTAGGTTACATGCATGATCAAAGGTCTTATGTATGGATGGCTAAGGCATGGAATATCATAGCGGCAGCTCCTGGTGCCATCATTACTGTATGATTTTAGAGGAAAGGATCCCCGAGGACATTTTGTAGGGTTTTTGTATATCTTTTTTTTTTCCATAAGCCAGTGGTGCTCCAGGCAAGCAGATTCAAGAGAAAAAGAGAGATACTAAAACCAAGAGAGATCTATCTATCTCTCGACCCTTCGCCTCACCCTCTCAGTCTCCGCCCGAATCACTAGCCTACTGAATGACATATCAGATTGGATGTCGTTCCACTTCCTTAAACTGAACCTCTCCAAAACCGAGCTCCTAGTTTTTCCCCCCCAGCCCACCCCCCCCCCCCCCCCCCCACTGACTTCTCCATCACGTCCAAAAATGCCACCATCAGGTCCACCCCGCAAGCCAGAGTACTAGGTGTCATTCTAGACTCCAATCTATCCTTCCAGCCCCAGGTCCAATCGCTGACAAAATCATGCAGACTCCGCCAACATCTCCAAAATACGCCCATTCCTAACCCCAGAAACCACTAAGCAACTCATCCACTCCCTCATCATATCACGACTCGATTACTGCAACCCTCCTCACTGGCCTGCCTCACCACAGGCTATCCCCGCTTCAGTCAATCCTGAATATGGCGGCCAGACTCATCCACCTTACCAACCGCTCTGTTTCCGCCCGCACCCCCCTCTGCCAATCCCTCCACTAGCTTCTGATTGCCCAACGGATCAAATTCAAAATGCTAACACTGATGTACAAAGCTGTCCATAACTCTGCCCCAAACTACATCACCGACCTAATATCCAAATACCACCCAAAACACACTCTCCGTTCCTCACAAGACCTCCTTCTCTCTAGTTCCCTGGTCTCCTCTTCGCATGCCTGCCTCCAGGACTTGTCCAGGGCATTACCCATCCTCTGGAACTACCTACCTCAATCCATCAGACTATCACCTACTCTCTTCTCCTTTAGGCGCACCCTGAAAACCCATCTCTTCAGGGAAGCCTAACCCGCCCTCTGCTAATTGCTGATCTCCTCCACTCTTCCTACCACTCCATCCCCCACAGCTTTTCCTCCTGTGCCACTATCCCCTCCCTCCTAGATTGTAAGCTCCAAGGAGCAGGGCCCTCGAACCCCTTGTGTATCGCATTGTATTGTTATTGTACTCTCTCATGTACAGGTGAAACTCGAAAAATTAGAATATTGTGCAAAAGTTCATTTATTTCAGTAATACAACTTTAAAGGTAAAACTAATATATGAGATAGACTCATTACATGCAAAGCAAGATAGTTCAAGACATGATTTGTCATAATTGTGATGATTATGGCTTACAGCTCATGAAAACCCCAAAATCCACAATCTCAGAAAATTAGAATATTGTGAAAAATTGCAATATTCTAGGCTCAAAGTGTCCCACTCTAATCAGCTAATTAAGCCATTACACCTGCAAAGGGTTCCTGAGCCTTTAAATGGTCTCTCAGTCTGGTTCAGTAGGAATCACAATCATGAGAAAGACTGGTGACCTGACAGTTGTGCAGAAAACTATCATTGACACCCTCCATAAGGAGGGAAAGTCTCAAAAGGTAATTGCAGAAGACGTTGGATGTTCCCAAAGTGCTGTATCAAAGCACATTAATAGAAAGTTATGTGGAAGGGAAAAGTGTGGAAGAAAAAGGTGCACAAAGCAGCAGGGATGACCGCAGTCTGGAGAGGATTGTCATTAAAAGGCCACTGAAAAGTGTTGGGGACTTTCACAAGGAGTGGACTGAGGCTGGAGTCAGTGCATCAAGAGCCACCACACACAGACGGATCCTGGACATGGGCTTTAAATGTCGTATTCCTCTTGTCAAGCCGCTCCTGAACAACTAACAATGTCAGAAGCGTCTTACCTGGGCTAAAGAAAAACAGACCTGGTCTGTTGCTCAGTGGTCCAAAGTCCTCTTTTCTAATGAGAGCAACTTTTGCATCTCATTTGGAAACCAAGGACCCAGAGTATGGAGGAAGAATGGAGAGGCACACACTGCAAGATGCTTGAAGTCCAGTGTGAGGTTTCCACAGTTTGTGTTGATTTGGGGAGCCATGTCATCTGCTGGTGTTGGTCCACTGTGCTTCATTAAGTCCAGGGTCAACGCAGCCGTCTACCAGGAGATTTTGGAGCACTTCATGCTTCTTTCTGCAGACAAGCTTTATGGGGATGCTGACTTCATTTTCCAGCAGGACTTGGCACCTGCCCACACTGCCAAAAGCACCAAAACCTGGTTCAATGACCGTGGGATTACTGTGTTTGATTGGCCAGCAAACTCGCCTGACCTGAACCCCATAGATAATCTATGGGGCATTGCCAAGAGAAAGATGAGAGACATGAGAGCGAACAATGCAGAAGAGCTGAAGGCCGCTATTGAAGCATCCTGGTCTTCCGTAACACCTCAGCAGTGCCGCAGGCTGATAGGTTCCATGCCACGCTGCATTGAGGCAGTAATTGCTGCAAAAGGGGCCCAAACCAAGTACTGAGTACATATGCATGCTTATACTTTTCAGAGGTCCGATATTGTTCTATGTACAATCCTTGTTTTATTGATTGCATGTAATATTCTAATTTTCTGAGATTGTGGATTTGGGGTTTTCATGAGCTGTAAGCCATAATCATCACAATTATGACAAATCACGACTTGAACTATCTTGCTTTGCATGTAATGAGTCTATCTCATATATTAGTTTCACCTTTTAAGTTGCTGCACTGAAATAAATGAACTTTTGCACGATATTCTAATTTTTCGAGTTTCACCTGTATTGTCTCCCATTGTAGTGTACAGCGCTGAGAAAACCGTTGGCGCTATATAAATACTGTATAATAATAATAATCCTTCTAAGAATATTATTACTATTATACAGGATTTATATCCATCAGGTAGATGGGTAAATATTGATCACAAGAAAAGATTCAAGCACACCACCAACATGTTTCATAACTCTTGAGTTAGTGGCCACTTCTTCAGAAAAAGATGTGTTCAGCAGAGGCACCTATTAAATAAAAAGGTGCCCTCCTGTGGATGCTTCAGGAATATCAGTACATATTGATCACAAGAAAAGGTTCAAACACACCATCGACACGTTTCATTGTTCTTTAGTGGCCACTTCTTCAGGAAAAGATGTGTTCAGCAGAAGCACCTATTAAATAAAAAAGGTGCCCTCATATGCATCCTTAAGAAAGATCGGTAAATATTGATCACAAGAAAAGGTTCAAGCACACCATCAACACATTTCGTAACTCTTTAGTGGCCACTTTTTCGGGAAAAGATGTGTTCAGCAGAGGCACCTATTAAATAAACAAGGTGCCCTCATGTGAATCCTTCAGGAAGATTGGTACATATTGATCACAAGAAAAGGTTCAAGGATACCATCAACACATTTTGTAGCTCTTTAGTGGCCACTTTTTCGGGAAAAGATGTGTTCAGCAGAGGCGCCTATTAAATAAACAAGGTACCCTCATGTGGATCCTTCAGAAAGATGGGTAAATATTGATCACAAGAAAAGGTTCAAGCACACCATCAACACGTTTCGTTGTTCTTTAGTGGCCACTTCTTCAGGAAAACATGTGTTCAGCAGAGGCAACTATTAGAAAACTAGTAGAGGTTCATATGGACTTGGCACTGCAAACTATACTGTGAATTCAGCTTTACTGTCTTCAGGAAAATGATGGACACTGACCACAGTGCTCGGCACTGACAGATTCATGTACCTATCTGTGACAGGTACTTGAATCAGCTGCAAGCACCGACAATTTTGTTGAGGTGACCAACAGGGTCCAAAGGGTGTCTACAACACCAGATATGAATTCCCCCCATGGTTTGATGAGATTGATGAGGAGGAATTCAAGTGGTCTACACAGAGCCCTGACCTAGACACGTGCAGGCCGACCAAAATTTGTTTAGTTTCAATTTGTTATTTAAATAATTTCTTTCAGTTAAATTAATTTGAATTCATTTTTGGAATTCGTTTAGTTTCGATAATTTATTTTCGAATTTACCGAATCGAAAAGTATTTAAATCAGCATTTGAATTCAAATGTATTCTATTAGAAATTTGAATTTCGGAAAACAGGTATATTCTCTCTGTTCTATTCTATTCTATTCTTTTCTAATCTATTCTTTTGTATTCTATTATATTCTGTTCTTTTCTATTCTATTCCTCTATTTTCCAACTTATTTTAATCTATTCTTTTATTTTCTATTCTATAATGTTTTACTCTAATTTTTTCTATTCTATTCTATTTCTTTATTTTCTATTCTATTCCTTTGTTTTCTGTTCTATTTTATTCCATTCTTTTATTTTCTATTCTGTTTTGCATTTTTTGTATTCTATTCTGTTTTATTCTATTCTTTTCAAAATTCAAGTTTTGAAAAACGGCTTCTATTTTAATTCATTCTATTCCTTTTTTCTTTTCTATTCTATTCTATTTTCGAAATTCTAATTTTGGAAGATGGCTATATTTGAACACAAATACACACAGTCTTTAAAGTAAAGCAGCAATATTCAGCAATATCTTTATATTTCGCATTTGTTTTCGAATTCAATTTTATTTTCAAATTGTGCCTGAAATTTTATTTCAGTATTTCAGGATTTATTTAAATGAATTACTATTGTAAATCAGAAATTCAGATAAATCTGAATTTCTGAATAACAAAAAACATTTGTTGAAATTTCAATACGGAATTAGACGAACTGCACATGTCTAAACTCAACCCTACTGATCGCCTTTGGGATGAATTGGAAAGCTGAAAATAAGTTTCTCAAGAGTTCTACAGTTGGGAGATTCATAGATATTGAGTGGCCTGTTTAGTAGCTACAGAACCACAGCAGGTAGGAATCTGCAATTATATGTAATTTTCAATGAAATTTTAATGGACTGTTTTGAGGTTGTGGAAACAATTAGTTATACAGGGTTGTTGAATTACTCGCTATACAAAAAGAGATGACAACTAACCTTTGCAGTAAGGTGTAAGTAGATAGGTTGTGTGCATCACAAACATAAAAATTGCCTAGTATACTTCCTAGCTAGCTTGCAAAAATAAAAAAAATTGACCCTGTCTAAAATTGTATGTAAAAAACAGAGTTTAGTTGCACACATCTGCAGAAGCCGCAGTGCCTCACCAAGGCTCCTCTTTATATTGGTGCCCTAACTCTATATTTCAGTCTTCAGATTTGCCTTCTTTTTTATAGCATGCCTACTGTTAATTTATCCACTGCTATATTCTCCAACTTGGAGATTCTCAAATATAGAGTTAGGACTGCAGTATACAGAGGACCCTTGCAGAGGCACTGCAGCTTCCATATGTTTGCAAATATACCCTCTCTTTTTAATGTGAATTTATAGATAGGGACATTTTTTTTTTTTTTTTGCAGGCTAGCTGGTAAGTATGCTGGGCAATATTCTGTTTGTGTTTATTTATTTCAGGTACTTATATAGCACTGTCAATTTACACATATATATATTGAACATTCACATCAGTCCCTAACCCCCAAAGGGTTTACAATCTAAGGTCCCTAACTCACATTCATACAAACACATACTAGGGCCAATTTAGACAGGATCCACTTAACCTACCAGCATGTCAGTAGAGTGGGGAGGAAACGCACACAAGCATAGGGAGAACATGCAAACTCCATGCAGGAGGCGCCATGGTCAGGAATCGAACCCATGACCCATTTACTGTAAGGTAGACGTGCTAACCACTAAACCACTGTGCCGTTTGTGTTGAATTATTCACATTGCTAGCCACATTCTTTAAAGTAAAGAGGGGGGGGAGGGTGGTCGTCAGATCTCTATCACTGTATTACAAAACTTTGCACATTTTATGGATGATTTCCTATAGGCATAGGGGGCGCACTTTCTAGGATAATACACTAACCTAGAACTGTGAGTCATGTACAATGCAGCTTACTGAACATACAATGTGACCGGTCCTCTTTTTATTACTGAGTGAGATTTTGTTTTTTTTTATTTTTGCTTGTTTTTTTTTAGATTGTGAACATCCTGAGGGCCCCAGATTTCCACCATGACCTGAGCCTGACTAGTGGCCACATACGCAGAATCTTCGCATTAAGGTTCCACCCTTCCGAGTATCACATCTTCCTAACTGGGGGATGGGATGACTCCGTCAAGGTGAGGAAAATTGTGCTTTATGCTTGTATATAGATCTGATATATCTCACAGTACACTGAGCCAGTCACATCACTTTCTGTACCAGAGGAGCTAACACTCCACAGTCCATGTGACCACAGTCACATATTATACATTTCTATAGCTCTGACATGCTCTACAGTGCGCATTACCTCAGTAACCAAATTTATTAATTAAAGAATGGTACTCACAAACAGATAATAAAATCAGGCATGTAGTCCTCAAAGGGACTTCAGAGATAGAGAGCCAGTGCGAATCCCATCATGGGGGTAGACACTCAGTCCATCTGACGCATTCCGAAGGCCATGCCTTCTTCCTCAGAGCCACTCGGAACGCGTCAGTGGTACTGAGTGTCTACCCCCATGATGGGATTCGCGCTGGCTGTCTATATCTGAAGTCCCTTTGAGGACTACATGCCTGATTTTATTCACTGTTTGTGAGTACCATTCTTTAATTAATAAATTTGGTTACTGAGGTAATGCGCAAGGTTGGTGCGCTTCTCGTTTTTGTTTCACTTTGCAGTATTGGTCGGGCTTCCCCAGCCTTGTTTGGAGCTGCACAGCCTTTAATACACTGGTGGTCACCTTTTTCTGGTTTTGGTTCCATCTATTTGCCACTGGCCTGGGTCCTAGAGCGCAGGAGAAATCGCATCTGGTCTATACTCTACAGTGCTACATAGGGAAACGCTCAGCCAGTCACATCAGTCTCTGCACCAGAGGAGCTTACACTCTGCACCAGAGAGGTTGTGCTGCAGGTGCTCTCCCTCTCCAGGCACTAGGGGCCAGGCCTGCTCGCCTGGCCCCAGAAACATGGCCTCTTCTGGGCTAGGCTCAGACCATGCTCCCCCCTGAGGGACCCAGCTTGCCTTCCATACTTTACCAGCACCTGAAGACCTTGGCTGTGGCCCTAAAAGTGGGGAATCCCTCCCTGTCTTTAGAGAGTGGGTTGCTGATTATCTGGTGAGAATCGCAAAGGAGGAGGAAAAAAGTTGGTGAGTCTGAAAACTGACTACAAGAAAAAGAAAGTTCTCCATGACAAGTCATGGAGCAGCAAGAGGCAGAGCATGAAGCCGGAGATGAAGGGTTTGGAGGTCGCCATCAAGAAGCAGCAGAATCTGGTAAAGACGCTGAAGGAGAAGAGCGGAGCTTTCAGAGAAAAGTTCCGGAATGAGGAAAGGTTCAGGAAGTTGAAGGGAGACTCCGGTAAGGATCCAGCATCGGCGGTGGCAGTACGGGTGGAGAGTGAGGAGGGGGTCCTGGATGCTGCCCTGCTATCCCATCCACCTCAGGATCTGCTTCCCTGGAGGAAATGTCAGCCTCTGCCCCCCTCCCTCCACAGCAAGCTGGAGGAACAGCACAGGAGGTAGAGGAATATGGCGGAGGGGCTGCTAAAGTACATTGAGGAATTGGAGTCTTCCCTAATTGGAAGAACTTTCCGTTTTTCTGAGGACTCTGAGGATGAAGATGACGGTGAGGACTCTGTACCTGGTCCTGTAAAGGAGAAAAAAACAGAAAAGCCACGCTTTATTAAAAGTGCCATTTTGGACTCCAGTGTGGACAGCCATGTGCACTGCAGTGTTTTGGAGGGAAAATCCTCCTGTGTGTGCACAGAGCTCTGCAGGGAAGATGGCTGCTGTGCCTGCAGGACTGCACTCTGCTGGGACTGAGGACTCTGATACCAGGAACCCTGTGACTGTGGACTCTGCTGGGGGGAAAGGTAAAGGAGGGATCTGACACACTTGCTTGACAATCCCTGCTGATGGCTGCAAATGCAGCAGAAAATGGTGGGAGGGAAATTGTCAGCAGCACTCTGAAAGGGGTTGCTGAAACCCAGGGAGAGTGACCAGGAGTGGAAGGCTTTTGCCTAAGAGGAGTATGTTGGGGGAGGGGGAGACAGGAGCATCTGGTGTGAGTGGGTCTGCTGGGAGCAGTAGTGCCACGAGTGAAAGGAAACATATGGATGATAAGAGTGCTTGCAATGCTGGAAAGGGGAATGCCTGTGTGTTGGTGGATGGAGGGACTGCTGCTGCCTCTGATGGTGGTCTGCAGAGCGGGGGCTCTGAGGTTCCTGCAACCAATGGGCGGGGTGCAGCTTTAAGGTCCACTACATCTAATGCTGCAAATAAGACCTATGCTGGGCTCTGGCTGGGAGGAGGGGGTCACATCATGTTGTCAGCTCTGGGGGGAGGTCTGCTGCAGGTCTGCCATCTGCACCCCTGTCCTTCAGGAGGAGGAATTTGGTGCAGCTCAGATGGGAAGGTGGGGGTGCTCCCCCGGTCAGGATGTCGGTGGTGGACAGGATTTTGGAGATGGGGTTTAGGGCGGATGACATCTTCGCCTTGATCAGCCCTGTAGGATCCTATGAATATGATCTGTCCTTTGTGCGCCCCGAGTCTCTGGATATATTCTGGGAGAAGTATGAACACATGTATAAGGGTCTGCCGGAGTGGAGGGGACTCGTCCCAAAAGGTGGTCTCACGCCAACCTCTAGTGAAGACGGTCACCATTCTAGTACGGAATGAGTCCATTCCTTCGGCTGACTTGGCTGTCTGGCTGAGGAGATTTGGGGAGAGCTACTTGCACCCCTGAAAGAAGATTGTGGATGAGAGAGGGATATGGACTGGTGGGTGGTCGGTGCAGATGAGGTTGTATGTGTGTGGGAATGTGGTCCAGCATCTGCCCTCTCAGCCTTCATTGGGAAGGACAGGATTGTGGTGTTCTACCCTGGACAGCCCAAGCTCTGCAATAAATGCGGTTCTCGGGGTCACTTCGCCTCCTCATGCCCAGAGATGAAGTGCTCTCTATGTCAGGATCTGGGGCACCTGGCTAAGGATTGTAATATCATCAGGTGCAATCTGTGTGATAAGGTTGGCCATTCGTACAACCGGTGCCCTGAGGCCATGCACAACCAGTCAGCTTTGGTGGAAGAGTTTTTTCGTCTGGACATGGAGGAGGCAGAGGAGAGGGAGGCTGTGCCAGGGGTCCCCAATGTCTCTGTCCCTGTGGTCCCAGTGTCTGATGGTCCCTCTAATGTGTCATCTCCCTTGTGTTGTGCCCCCTGAGTCAGTGTCCGTGGATGTTGTGTCTGATCCTCCTGTGTCAGTTTCCCCAGAGGTAGTGGGGGCTGTGGAGGGAACTGGACCAATGTGTATGGTTGCACCGACCCCCCCTCCCGGCGTCGGAGGGTCAGAGCGCGTGAGGCGCTGGGGGGTGGGAGTGAATGATGGTGGGGGTGTTGGGGTGAAGGTTGGGGGGACTGCTGTGGTGAGTGGAGAGAGTGGGGTGGATGATGTTGTTGGTGATGGTGGAAGGGAAGGGGAGGGGGCTTTGCGGGCCGGTTTATCAAATGATGATATGGAGTGGTTGGAGGCAAAAAGGAAGTCTGGGAAGAAGAAGCGGAAGAAGGATGTGCCTGTACCTGACCCTGGGAGGGTGGAGGTGTCAACACATTTGAAGTGTTATCTGAGGTGGAGGATGAGGGATCTTCAGGGGATGAGTCTCTGGTTTCCATGGAGGGAGGAAACACAGAGGACTATGAAGCGTGTAGGGTCTCCAAGTAGGGAGGGGGGTAAGCAGGCTAAGAAACGGGTACCTCGATCATCCTGATGGCGGTTCCCACTCCTTTGAAGGTGGCGACCATTAATGTCGCCAGCATAAAATCAGTAAGCGCTCGTAACATGGCCTTATTTTTGCTCAGCAGGTTTGATGCTGACATTTTCTTTTTGCAAGAGACCAGGTTGTCCAGTTTGGGGGATGTTCATATGGCGAAGAAGGAGTGGAGGCGCAGCCCCTCCTTCTGGTCTCTTGCGGCCGAGCCTTACACTGGAGTTGCGGTACTTTTTTCCGGCATGGTAACCTGTCGGCGGATTATTGAGGTAGAAATGGGGAGATGCATGGTCTTAGACGTCTCCATGGGGGGGCAGGACCTGCGCCTGATTAACATCTATGGGCCCCAGACAAAATGGGACAGGAAATGCCTCTTCATGAAGATCAAGCCTTTCTTTTTACAGCCCAGCAAGTTGTCTTCGGTGGTGGTGACTTTAACACCGTCACTAGGACTAAGGACAGGAGAGGGACCGGAGTCAGGCTGGACTGTGACGGGTTTTTTTTAAACAAAATAGCTAGAGAGGCAGGTCTGGTTGATGTGCAATCATTGCTGCCCACTGACGACACGGGATTCACTTTTTCAGCGAGGTTCCAGTCAGAGTAGAATAGATAGGTTTTTTTTAAAGGGGAACTCCGCTTCTCGGCACCAGTGTGTCAGGCGGTAGAGTTTTCCGATCACTGTATTCTGTCTGTGACTCTGAGTGGCCCCGATACACCACCTAAGGGGAGGGGTACCTGGAAGCTGAATTCGGCACTCCCTGGACGATGAGAAAGAGGTGAGTCAATCCTTTGAGGATTTTTTTCAGGCACAGGTATCAATCATGGACGTTTGCAGCAGTAAGTCCGAGTGGTGGGAGCTTACAAAAAGAAGGATCGTTGGGTTTTTCAAGGCCATAGGAAGGAATAAAACAGCTTGATAAGTATGTCACCTACCAGCGTCTGCGGAGGAAGCTCGATCGGCTTGTCTCGAATAATGGGGATCCAGAAGCGATCTCTGAGGTCAAACTCTTGCTCAGGCAGTGTCAATTATGACAGGCATGCCTCTTTGGTTCTGGAAAGGGATTATGGGAAGTATCACTCGCCCGAACCTTACCAGAACTGCAAACAAGGTAGAGCAGTTAAGTCAGTGTAGGCCTGGTTGACAGTAACGGGTTCCCTGACAAAGTCCAAGTCAGGGATCCTGGAAACCTCCAGGTCATATTATGCTGACCTCCTGGGTAGGAGGGACCTCGATCGGGCGAGCATGTTGTCGGGTTTTCTGGACTCTACTCCAGGACTGGGAAATGGCAGTTCTCTTGTGAGTTTGACAGAGGACATCACGGCAGATGAGGTGTGTGAAAGCTATTGATCAGCTTGCCATGAAGAAGTCGCCTGGGCCAGACGGATTGACAGCCGAGTTTTATAAGCACTTTAAGGTGACTCTGGCCCCATATTTGGTGGAGGTGTTTAATGGCTGTCTGAGAGAGGGTTCGCTCTCTCCCTCCATGCGACAATCTGCAGTGATTCTTCTGTCAAAGGGTAAGGATTCCTCGAGAATTGAGAATTGGCGGCCCATTAGCCTTCTCAATGTTGATAGGAAGATATTGGCAAAAATTATTTTCTGGCGTTTATCGTCTGTTGCGGGCAATTTACTTTCTCGCCATCAGCACTGTTTCGGTTCAGGGAAGAAGCACTTTTTCAGCGGTGTTAGCTGTTCCGGGAGGCCCTGGAGCGGTGCAGGGCTGCAGGCTGGGGAAAGTTCCTGCTGGCATTGGATCAGGCCAAAGCTTTTGATCGAGTCAATCATGAGTAATCTATGGCTGCTTCTTGGCAAGTATGGCCTGGAGGGGGGCTTTATCGATTGGCTAAAGACCTTATACAGAGGGGCTGAAAGCTTCATGCTTGTTGAAATGGTTGGGATTGGACGACCCTTTGAGGTTGGCTCAGGTGTGCGTCAGGGGTGTCCTTTGAGTCCTCTGCTATATGCGTTTGTAATCGATCCCTTCATTCGGAGGTTAGAGAGCGGACCGTTGTGTGGAGTTCCTTTGGGCATTCCTGGGGAGCCCCCTCTGAGGGTCGTGGCCTATGCTGATGACGTGTCTGTTTTCATCTCCGGGACGCAGGAGCAGAGGAGGTGGTGGTCTCAGTGATGGAACAGTATGCTGAGGCATCTGGCTCAAAGATTCAATCAGGATAAGAGTGAGGTTTTCTGGATGGGAGAGGAAGGCGAAGGCTTTACCCTTCCGGACGCCTTCCCAGAGCCCCAGCAGGAAATTAAAGTTTTAGGCATCAGATTTGGTCCCGGTGATTACGGCCTTGCAAAATTGGGTAAGCAGGCTACAAGATGCCGATGCCAAGGTTGCCAGCTGGAAGTATTGGAAACTCTCTTACAGGGAAAGGATTGACCTGATTAAAACTTACCTGATCCCGGTATTTCTGTTATGTCAGCTTTGTCTGTTTTGCCAGTGTCTCTCTATGCGAGGATCTACAGTTGTTTCTTCCAGCTGTTATGGAGGCACAAACGCTGAACCTCATTAAGAGGTCTGTAACCTACCTTCCCAGGTGGATGGGTGGCCTAGGTATGGTCAACCCGGTGGTTTTTCTTTTCTCTGATGTTTTTGAAACATAATTTTGGTAGCATGCTGGCAGAGGAACCGCCTGGGTGGGTTGGTATTTTTCAGTCCTGGTTTAGGCCTTTTCTACGGAGCTGGGAGAATGGTGGGCCAGTGAAAAGCCTGAGGGTCCAACATGGTAAGCTCCCGGCTTATGTTGCCCCCATGTCTGAAAATGCTTCGGCAATGGCGAGTGACGGCGGAGGAAATTAAATCTCTTCCTAGGAAGGCCCTGGAGAGGAGGGTTGTTGAATCTGCCTTTAGCGAGCCATTGGCCTTGAGGGATTGCCCAGGCCCGGTTATGAGGGAGGGTCTGCGTTTGATGAATCTGGAGAGAATCCCTTTAAAGTTTCGGGATTTGGCCTGGCTCTCGTTCCATGGCAGACTCTATGTGAAGGGCAACCTGAAGCATCGCTCTGCGGAGAACCGTGGTTGTCCAAGAGTGGAGTGCGGTGGGGTGGAGGAGACGATGGACCATTTCTTGCTTCAGTGCCCCTTCAATATAGAAGTCTACAAGCGGGTGGGTGGGGCTCTGGGATCCCTTTCCTTTCCCGCTTGAGTTACGCGGAGTGGTCTTACGGAGCCTTTTCAGACTCACCGGGATTTTGATTTTGAGACACTTTTCTAGTTAGCTTAGTAGTCCGTTACCACACGTGGAATGCACGGTGTCAGGTTTCCATTCGCAAAAAAGTCCTTCCTGTCGAGGTGGTGGTGAACAACATTCTGGGTGAGGTTGGGAAGATTCGGGGTCTTGAGAAGGACAGGTGGCGGCCGGGAGCCTGGACAAAGGCGTGGAGGAATGTCAGGTCCCCGTAGCTGCTGTCTGTCAGTCTCTGGGGGCGTGGCTTCTCTTTCTGTCCTTTCACGTCCCCTAGATTTTGTAACATCAGATTTTTGAAGAAAGGCTGCATGCATGGGATCGATGTATGGGATGAATGTGTGGGATGAATGTATGGGGTGAATGTTTAATCGTTTCTTAGCCTGAGGGGGTGTTTAGGTGACGGTCAGGATTTGTTATTTTGCTGAAGTAAGCTGGTTTTGTTTAAAAATACATATTTTTATTCTGTATATATGTAAATATGATTTTTTATGATGTTTTTTTGTTTGCAAGATTTTAATAAACAAAAAATTTACACTCTAAAGTCCCCACGATTGCTCCATGATTATTATGCAAGTGATGCAGCAAATTAGACACTGTAAGGCCCAATTTACATGGGTGCTTATCCAAAGTGCATGGGGCTGTAGTGTTTAGCTGAGCCACGCTGCCAGGACTCTCTCAAACTGTATGGGAGATGACAGCTGCTGCGGCTGTACGGTGCACCTAGCGGTACTTCTGTTTGGGACAGTATGCACCAGGGATAAAATGTGTGTAGAAAGTGTTGCGTTGCTCCCTACTCAGCACAATTTTGTCATAAAATATGAATAGTGAAAAAAAGTAAAAATAATACTTCATATAGTGCAACTATTTTCCAATGTGCAAGTGAATCTCCAAACCGAAAATAAAACTTAGTTATAGTAAATACTTATGCAGCCGGATGCGGGCTATGTTACAATAAAATCCTGAGACACTTACAAGCAGGACTATGGATTAAACCTTTTCCCTCTAGTGCTAAGTATTCTGGTAGCTACGTCACCTCCTGTTAACAGAATGATTCTTAACCTCCTGGGACAACATAGGAACTTGGGACCTGTAGTCGTATGGCCCATAGACACTATATTAGCCACTTACTGGAAATAAAGATGCAGTATTTCTGCACAGTATTGTTATTCTTTTGTGTTCTTATTTATATGTTGCTTCACAGATTCTTATTGGCTTCAGTTTTGTCTTCTTGTAGGTCTGGGACAAGCGCATGGCGAAAGAAGCGCGGTGTGTCATTAATGGTCCTCACATATGCGGTCCTGGAATTGACATCAGGGTGAGTGTGTCTCCACCTGACCTGATGGTACGCAGAGAGATGACTTTGAAAACCATCTTTTTGTGTGCTGACGTTAATCTGTTGCTTATCATAAATTAAAAATAATTTGGGGACACATTTTTTATTTGTATTCATCTTATTTAACCTCCTCGGCGGTATGATTATTTCCGATTTTTTGTGCTGAAAGCGGTACCATTTTTTTGCATGGAAATATGTAGTTTTTTATTGTAGGCTGTAATTTTTAGGAATAACTCACTGAAATCTATCCGAACAAGAGTCTAGTAAACATCCCGGATATGATAAAACTTGAAACACGAAATCATAAATTATAATTTAATAAATAATCATAAAAAATAATAATATAATAATAATACATTTAATTCAATAATATAATCAAACTAAAAACACTGAAATGTGAAATACAGAGGCAAATTCACACATTGCTGAGCAAAGTCGCAAAATCGTTTTCAGTGTCTGATGACGAATTTCCCCACAAATCATTATCACTCAATTCTGCAAGTGGTTCTGATTTACTATCGCTGTTCTCTAGCCGGTCTACAACCACTTTTGACATAAAGGGACGCTTTTTGGACGCCATGGACGTTTCTAAGTTTCCAGGCAGAAAGAACAGTCAAAATGCAGGCAGGGCACAGGACAAAGCAGTAGGGACAAAATATATGTGAAATGCATTGAAACAGCAATGTTTTACTATATAATAATCATTTTAAAAAAAATTACATTTTTTAAAAAATTTAAAATTTGCCGCCGGCAAATTTTTCCGGCGCTCGTACTTCCCGACGTCACAGGGATCGGAACACGGAAGCCGGATGCCGGCATCTGCCGGGAGGAGATGGCCGGGGATGCTGCAGGGGACACATTGCGGGAGCGAAGGACAAGGTAAGTGCTGCAGGGACTCCCTGAGCAACGCCGCATGGTAAGCCCGAGTGTAGCTCGGGGTTACCGCTCTTGGTATTGAAATTTTACCCCGAGCTACACTCGGGAATACCACCAAGGAGGTTAATAAACGAGCCCATAAGAAAATACCCTAAATCGGCATTTGCATTTTCATAGTAATTCAGCCTAGAAAAGAAAATGAACATAAAAGTGCTCCTGGGTACTTAGACGTTCTAGAACAGCTCCGAGATTGAGTTACATTCTGAAATAAGTGCTGGCTGTGGTGGCAAAATAGGAAAAAGTGGTGGACACATTTTTTTTTTTTGCTGCACAGTCATACAAACCTACTATTGTCACTTTAGCTGCAAAACTGAGCCAATGCTATCATGTTTCTTATTATAGAGCGCTGATAATTTATGCAGCGTGCTACATATTGTAAATTAAATTTCGCTTCCTGCCCCCAAGGAGCTTGCAATCTATAGTCTCACATACATATGTAGCACCCTGTGCAATAGTTGGCTGGGTCAAATTTAGGTCAGGGTTGAGAGGCTCTGCAGATCAGTTCTTTGATACCTCCTCTGCTCTAGAATATTGCTGAAGATTCCAGAAGCAGTGGGGGAGGATGAGGAGGGGCTGATCTGCATACTCAAGTGACTCTGGCCAATCCCCAAGCAGGAGGCGTGGCATGGGACCAGAGAAGCCCTTAAGTATGACTGAGCCTGCTCAGCAGCAGGAGAGTTCGGGTGGAAGATGTGAGGAAGGCTGTGATAAAGGAGCCTGGGAGGGGCCCCAGTTGGAAGAGGCCTACCTACAGGCAGGAAGCTGGAAAGAAGGATTACTCAGCCTCATCGGCCCCTAGAGCAAGGGCTACCTGTAGAGCCAGGAAAGCAGCCAGCCCAGCAGAAAGCCTGAAGACAGCCATCTATCTACACCAGTTTACAGGACAGAAACGGAATATTGGGAGGGGGAGCGTGTGAGATACGAATGATGGAGGATTTGATCAGTCAGGGAAGGTAAAGAAAGCATTGTTTTTTGAGCCTTGTGCATCACAATTGTAGTACCACCCCTGAAGGAGATGCTTGGTAACTTTGGATTCTCTGTTCTGTGCCTCAACTCCAACAACCTCGGCCCCTCTGACACATCTGGTTCACTACAAATCACTGCAAGCACATTACATACACAAGTATAAAATACCTTTACGCTGGCTGTGGGTTACTACCAGTCAATAGACACACACCCACTTACCGCTATAGGGCGGCACGGGTGCGCAAAATCACGTGTGTATATATACATGATTTTGCAGTTTTGGGTAGCGGCCTCAGCTGTCAGTCACTGGGTCCCGGCTGGTGATTCCCCACTGATCTCCGAGGATTTCCAATGACAGAGAGACCTGTATGTAAAGAATACAGATCTCTCCCCTGTCAGCTCCTGCACATTGCTTTGTATGATTCATCTGCCCTTACTCAAGATGTCCACAGCCAGAAATGCTAGGGGGTGTTTTTCAAAATTTTTTCTCAGCAAAATAAAGTATGGAGACAAGAGGTAGGCCTGGAGCTGGAGGGGAAGCCTAAGCGGAAGGCCGACATGACTAGGTTTGCAGTAGGCTGTGTCAATTGGAGGGTTAAAATTACATTTTGTTTAAAGTTGCAGGAGCTTACCTGATTGGAGAGAGCAGAGGTGACGCAAGGTGGACAGGGTGGGATCAAGCCGGACTTAGAAGGGGTGGCACCTTTGCCTCGAGGTCAGTTGGAGCGGTGACTGAACAGTGATGGACCGGCTTTAGGTGTAGGTTGGCTTCCCTATTTCTTTGGAATCCATTCTGAGTGCTTGTTTTCTTTTTGCCAGTGTTGTCATAGCGTCGGGCTGGGGTCGCAGGATTTTCGAAGGCTGTAGATGGTTGGTAAATTTGGAAAATAATTGGGTTGGGCCCATCGCAGGTATGGGTGTACCTTCATGCAGTAAGATACTAGTGGTTGTGGGGCTGTATCAAGGATGGACTGATCGTTAAATTGTCCTCGAGCCGGTGAAGATGCGGTTGTGGGCATTTTAGGTGGAGTTGTAGTAGATACAGCCGGTTGGAATAAATATAGGTGCCTTCCAAGACCCTACACCAGAAAAGAGGTCAGTCTTTGTTAGGATGGTTGTAATAATTTTCATAATGAAAATGTTTTGATGAAAGGTTGTATATTGTAAGTTTGTATGTTTTTATTTAACCTCTTCCAGTCCGGCGCATGCCAATAAACAGCTGGACGGGAGCACTGCTGGGGGACAATTCTAAACGTTCCTCCGCATCCATTGCCTGGTTGGGCTCCCTGGGAGCGCGCAGTGCTGCGATCTGTGTCCGGTGGACACAGCGTAACACAGATCACTGTACGGGACCTCTGTGTGAGGTCCAGATTCATGTGATCACTGATTGGCCAATCAATGATGGGAGCACTGCCAATGCTGGGGGACATTTCTATACATTCCCCCGCATCCATTGCCTGGTTGGGCTCCCTGGCAGCGCGCAGTGCCGCGATCTGTGTCCGGTGGACACAGCATAACACAGATCACTGTACGGGACCTCTGTGTGAGGTCCAGATTCATGTGATCACTGATTGGCCAATAAATGACGGGAGCACTGCCAATGCTGGGGGACATTTCTAAACATTCCCCCGCATCCATTGCCTGGTTGGGCTCCCTGGGAGTGCGCAGTGCCGCGATCTGTGTCCGGTGGACACAGCGTAACACAGATCACTGTACGGGACCTCTGTGTGAGGTCCAGATTCATGTGATCACTGATTGGCCAATCACTGATCACATGAACAGTAGTAAACAAGATGTCACTTCCTGACATTGTTTACTACTTGTGACATCTGTGAATGATCACAGAGGTTACATGGTACAAGGCTATTCATAACAGCCTTGTACCATGTGACAAGCTGTGACCAATTACAGTATTTCTCATGGCTGCAAGAATGCAGCCAGAGAAAAGGAGAAATGATTGCTTTTACACCCATAAAGGCTGTAAAAACAATCAGTGTAAATAAAAAAAAAAAATCTTCATTACTCCCCACAAGTAGTACAGTGTCACTATGGTGACTCTGTACTGGTATGGTGACAGTATGTAAAAAAAATAAATAAATATATAAATAATAATATAAAAAAAAAAAATAAAACTGTAACACACATTTTTGACAAATTATTTTTTTTTATAAACTAATTTGGATTATTTTTTTCCCCAAAATGATAGCTGGATACATTTTGGCCAAGACATGAAGACAGATTGTTTATTTGCAAATTTGTGGTCTTTTTCATTTATATAGCAAAAAAATAAAAATCCCAGTGGTGAATAAATAACACCAAAAGAAAGTTTTATCTGTCTCAAAAAAATGCTAAAAATTTCATATGGGTGCAGTATTGCATGACCGCGCAATTGTCAAGGTGTGATAGTGCTGAAAGCTGAAAATTGGCCTGAACTGGAAGGGGGTGAAAGTGTCCGGACTTGAAGTGGTTAATAGATGGCGCCTATGGCCTTTTCAACCCCCAAAAAGCCAATGTTTCCAGTTGTTTTAAGAAAGGGGGAATTTGATTGGGTAGGGGGGCGTTGTAAAATCCACACAGCCGCGATATATAGAAATACCTCAGTCAAGGATGGGTGAGTTTGCTTTGAATATTAACAATGAATTAAATAGCATTTTTGGTTTGAGGTGCTCAGTTGCATTGCAGTTCCACTTTTGAAAAGTCCATACATAGAAGGGTGCGGAAAGATCAATTTGTAGCAAAAACCATCTTTTCTTGATAAATCTCTCTCCTGACCACTAGATGGCAGTATAATAATACCTGCTTGGATACAGGTTGGTTGGTTGGTGGCTTGAGGTTCTCTATAGCAGGAATGTACGGTATAAGCCACCCATTCACACTACTGCGGCACTGTGCTTTGCCTGTTTAGTTTAGTAGGCTACCCTACACATGACAAATGCGTGAAAGCAGCTCATTCGCCTTCTTGTGTTTTGCGTTTCACACGGGTTTTACCAACAGGTTTCACCGCGTTTGCTGAAGTTCTCGCACGTGCAGGAACCGCGCTTCTTGTTTGCTGCGTTTGGGGTGATATTAACAATAAATGGCACCACGGGTGTGATACACACATTTCCAGTTGAGTACTTGGTGAAATGGCCCCTCTAACTTAGTACTTAGTTTTCTTTTTTTTAGACTTTAGGCTTTTTTAGGCTTTTTTCCCTTTATATTCACCTGGTGATCCTGCCAATAACACACCTAATGTCCTAGGGTGACAACGCTCCCTACTGTATCAATGGAGGGGCAATGTTGTCACCTCAGGCCAGGAGAACATCTCCCCCACTACTTATCTTTATAATATAACAGAACCCCCCGGGACTTGTTGGTGCCAGCAGGTGTGTGTTAAGGTGCTGCAATGCTTTTTTTTTTTTTTTGCTTTTTTTTAAAGCAGTATTAAGCCGAAAAGCAAACATTTATTATATTACAGCCTATTATAAATTGTTTTGTCGAATTTGTTAAAGAGCCACCCAATGGTAGATATACTGCTACAGGGCAGCTACGCTGCGCAAAATCACACACACATGTATATCATTTATTGTGTCTGATTTTGCATTCCTGGGTAGGGGGGCACGCGCGAGCCGCCCTATCCGTGCCGCTATTGGCTGCTGGATATGTCAATCACCGGGTCCTGCCCAGCGATTCCTGGCCAGGACTCTGTGATCATCAGCAAAGCTGACAGGGGAGAGACCTGTGTGTAACCACAGATCTCTCTCCTGTCGGCATGGACATGCTGCTTTGTCCACAGCAGAGATACAAAGCAGCATATCTCCCTAGTAAAAACACACACAGTTAACCCTTTGATCGCCCCCAGATGTTATCCCCTTCCTTCCCAGTGCCCTTAATACAGTGTCAGTGCTTTTTATTAGCACTGATCACTGTATTTGGTGTCACTGAGGATGTCAGTGACACCAAATCAGTTCCCCCCAGTGTCAGAATGTTCGCCGCAGTCCCGCTATAACCTTCACTTAAACCAATTAATTTACACGTATTGGGATTTATTTTTTTTTAGCAAAGACATGGAGCAGAATACATTTTGGCCTAAATTTTTGAAGACATTTTTATTTTTATTTTTTTAACTGGGTAGGGGGGCACGCGCGAGCCGCCCTATCCGTGCCGCTATTGGCTGCTGGATATGTCAATCACCAGGTCCTGCCCAGCGATTCCTGGCCAGGACTCTGTGATCATCAGCAAAGCTGACAGGGGAGAGACCTGTGTGTAACCACAGATCTCTCTCCTGTCGGCATGGACATGCTGCTTTGTCCACAGCAGAGATACAAAGCAGCATATCTCCCTAGTAAAACACACACAGTTAACCCTTTTGATCGCCCCCAGATGTTATCCCCTTCCTTCCCAGTGCCCTTAATACAGTGTCAGTGCTTTTTATTAGCACTGATCACTGTATTGGTGTCACTGAGGATGTCAGTGACACCAAATCAGTTCCCCCCAGTGTCAGAATGTTCGCCGCAGTCCCGCTATAACCTTCACTTAAACCAATTAATTTAAACGTATTGGGATTTATTTTTTTTTAGCAAAGACATGGAGCAGAATACATTTTGGCCTAAATTTTTGAAGACATTTTTATTTTTAATTTTTTAACTGGGTAGGGGGGCACGCGCGAGCCGCCCTATCCGTGCCGCTATTGGCTGCTGGATATGTCAATCACCAGGTCCTGCCCAGCGATTCCTGGCCAGGACTCTGTGATCATCAGCAAAGCTGACAGGGGAGAGACCTGTGTGTAACCACAGATCTCTCTCCTGTCGGCATGGACATGCTGCTTTGTCCACAGCAGAGATACAAAGCAGCATATCTCCCTAGTAAAACACACACAGTTAACCCTTTGATCGCCCCCAGATGTTATCCCCTTCCTTCCCAGTGCCCTTAATACAGTGTCAGTGCTTTTTATTAGCACTGATCACTGTATTGGTGTCACTGAGGATGTCAGTGACACCAAATCAGTTCCCCCCAGTGTCAGAATGTTCGCCGCAGTCCCGCTATAACCTTCACTTAAACCAATTAATTTACACGTATTGGGATTTATTTTTTTTTTAGCAAAGACATGGAGCAGAATACATTTTGGCCTAAATTTTTGAAGACATTTTTATTTTTAATTTTTTAACTGGACATGTTTAATAGCAAAAAGTCAAAAAATATATATATTTTTTTTTTTTTTCAAAATTGTCGGCCTTTTTTTGTGTATAGCGAAAAAAAAGTTATAGCGTTTACAAATGGCAGGAAAGATATTGGAATTTTTAATTTTTATTTATACTAATAATGGCGCCGATCAGCGACTTTTGGCGGCAATCAGCGACATATGGCGGCGACCAGCAACTTATGGCAGGACTGCAGGACTGCAGGACTGCGGCGGACATTTTGACACTGGGGGGGGGGGAACTGACTTGGGGTCACTGACACCCCCAGTGACACCAATACAGTGATCAGTGAAAAAAACCCACTGAAACTGTACTAATGTCACTGGGGAGGAAGGGGTTAACATTTTTAGAATTTGCTGTGTAAGGGGAGTATTTTACTAGGGGGCGGGGGTGTGTACTGGATGGGGGAGGGAGGGGGGAGCTGATCGAGGGAGAGAAACTCTGCAGCTTCTCACAAGCTGTCAGAGAACTGACACAGAACAGGGCTGTGTGTAAAACAATGCAGCCCTGCTCTGTGTCAGCGATCACCGTCAATCGCGGGAAAACGGCCGGTAAAAACCGGCCGTGACCCGTCGGCTGACACCCGCGGGACAGGTAGGGTGGGCGCGCGCCTCGCGCGCGCCCCCTACCTGTTTTGAAGGCAGCCGTTTTAAAACGTGCTTTTGCCTACGAGTGCCGCCCTGCCACCATTTATATGCGGTGGCTGGGCGGCAAGTGGTTAATAAGTTAATAATTTCATTTTGTCATATTCATTATGTTAGAATGATTCATTTTCCGAATTTGTTTTGTATGTTCGGATTAGTTTCGTATATTGGTTAATTTCAAATGATTTATTCAAAAATTCTAAGTTTTGAAGACAGCTACAGTATATTTGTTTTGTTGTATTTTAATCTTTTCTATTTTTTCTGTTTTATTCAATTCTATTCTATTCTGTTCTATTCTGTTTTATTCCATTCTTTTATCTTCTATTCTATTCTGTTTTCTTGTATTCTTTTGTATTCTATTCTATTCTTTTATTTTTATTCTATACTATTCTGTTCTATTATGTTTTATTTTTATTTTCTATTCCATTCTGTTTTACTCTATTCTATTATATTTTATTCAGCAGTGGGAATCATCATCTTATTTCACTTTTTATACCTCACTGTATTGCAATATGTTTCCATTTCAAATTCATTTTTGAATCCTAATTCATTTTAATTTTGAATAATTCAATTTGTTATAATTTATTTTGGATTCATCGAAATTCATTACTATCCTGATTCAGAAATTCAGAGATATCCGAATAATGAAAATTTCTTCTGAATTTTGATTCACAATTAAACAAATTGCACATGTCTACAGCTTACCAATTCTTAGATGTGATGGTTGCATTTGATTTCTTTTTTTAGGCTTTTCTTTCTTCAGTTTTTCATCTGGTAATCAGCCAGCAAATCTGTTGTCTTTCATAGCACAAACTCTCCAGAATGTATCAGTTTTTCATGGATGAGACAAACCATTTACCACAGGAAGGGATGGATAACATGATCAGTTTTTATTTCTTCAGCTAAAACCTTTATCAAAAAAGGAAAAAAACTGTTTGCTATAACTGATTATAAAGTGTGAGCTGGAGTTTGGTTTCAGTGTGTTAGTGGTTCTAAATCTGCTAATACATTTAACATTCCCCTCACCCCCAGACTGACAATTCTGTCGTCTGCTGTGCCTCCTGTGCTCATTCCTCCGGAGCAGGGGTGGACTGACCATTTGGAAACTCTGGCACTGCCCGAGGGAGGGGTCAGTAAGGGGGCCCATGAGATGCCCCTGGTACCTTTTTCATAGGCTTTTTTAAGTTTGGGCAAGGACACAGGGGCCCCATGATCCCCTATTGCCCGAGGGCCCCATGAGTTGTCAGTCCGTCCCTGCTCCTGAGTTGTCTCTCACTATTACAGGGAGGTGTGTTACTGGCTAGATAAACAGGTGTGAGTGTCTCCAGGGGTGGACTGACCATTTGGAAACTCGGGCACTGCCTGAGGGCCCGGGGTCAGTAGGGGGCCCCATGAGATGCCCCTGATACCTTTTTCATAGGCTTTTTTGAGTTTGGGCAAGGACACAGGGGCCCCATGATCTTCTATTGCCCGGGGGCCCCATGAGTTGTCAGTCCACCCCTGAGTGTCTCTAACCCCCACTCCTTTGGATAGTGAAGTGTGCAAAGCTCTGAGTATGATGTGGAGTCCAGGGCGGTGTACACAGCTCACCTGGGGCACCTCTGGCACATGGAGGACTATTTATTCACCAATATGGGTTCTTGTAGTACTTTCTCTTAGGGAAGAGCATGCGTTCTGCAAGTTTCTTTTTACACGTCAGGTTACAATGAACTGCATCCACTTGTATAGAGACCAAAGGTGAGATCTGGTGTTGTGCTGTTACTATTGTTTATTAATTGCCAGGGCAAGTTTTTTCACCTGGAACATGGGGGAACGCAGTTCTGGTAACTCCAGCACCAATGTATGTCATGGCAAGGGGTGCTGGAGGGTATATTGATGCTGGCTGGTGGGGGGTCTATGGTTGCTGGGGGTGATCTGTTGTTGAGGAAGGGGTCTATTGGTCCTGGAGGGTCAGTTGTTGCTGGGAGGGATCTACTGTTGAGGGTCTATTGTTGCAGGCTGATGAATGGTCTATTGATGTTGGCTGCTGGGTGATCTATTGTTGCTGTTGGGAGATATGTATTTTGTTGCAGTCTTTTTTGGAGATTTATTGTTGCTGCTGGGGTCTATCTCTACTGGGATGGTATTTTGTTGCAGGGGTCCATTGTTGCTGGGGAGATATTTTGTTGCTGGGGAAATCTATTGTTGCTGGGGAATCTATTTGTTGTTGGGGGTTAATTTTGTTACAATCTATTGTAGCTGGGAGATCTGTTGTTGCTTCTGAGGGTCTATTGTTGCTAGGATGGTATTTTGTTGCTGGGGAGATCTACTGTTGCTGGGGAATCTATTGTTGCAGTAGGGGTGTTTATTTTGTTGCAGTCTATTGTAGCTGGGAGATCTGTTGTTGTTGTTGTTGTTGTTGTTGTTGTTGCTTGGGGGTCTATTGCTGCTGGGATGGTGTTTTGTTGGAGGGGTCCATTATTGCTGGGGAGATCTATTGTTGGTGGGGATCTATTGTTGTGGGGTGGTGGATTTTGTTACAGTTAGTAGCTGGGAGATCTGTTGTTGTTGCTGCTGAGGGTCTAATGTTGCTGGGATGGTATTTTGTTGCAGGGGTCCATTGTTGCTGGGGGATCTATTGCTGCAGTAGGGGTATGTATTTTGTTGCGGTCTATTGTAACTGGGAGATCTCTTGTTGCTGGTGGGGTGGTATTTTGTTGCAGGGGCCCATTGTTGCTGGGGAGATCTATTGTTGTGGGGTTGTATTTTGTCCCAATCTATTGTAGTTGAGAGATCTGTTGTTGCAGCTAAGGATCTATTGTTGCTTGGATGGTATTTTGTTGGAGGGGTCCATTGTTGCTGGAGAGCTCTATTGTTGCAGGGCGGTGGATTTTGTTACAGTCTATTGTAGCTGAGAGATCTGTTGTTGCTGCCGAGGGTCCATTGTTTCTGCGGGTTGCATTTTGTTGCAGGGGCCCATTGTTGCTGCGGAGATCTATTGTTGCGGGTGGTGGATTTTGTTATAAACTATTGTAGCTGGGAGATCTGTTGTTGCTGCTGAGGGTCTATTGTTTCTGGAGGTTGTATTTTGTTGCAGGGGCCCATTGTTGCTGCAGAGATCTATTGTTGCAGGTTGGTGGATTTTGTTATAAACTATTGTAGCTGGGAGATCTGTTGTTGCTGATGAGGGTCTATTGTTCCTGGGGCTGGTATTTTGTTGCAGGGGCCGATTGTTGCTCGGGAGTTCTATTGTTGCGGGGATGTATTTTGTTATAATCTATTGTAACTGGGAGATCTGTTGTTGCTGCTGAGGGTCTATTGTTGCTGGGATGATATTTTGTTTCAGGGGTCCATTGTTGCTTGGTTGATCTATTGTTGCAGGCTGTGGGGGATTTTTTTTACTGCTTTTCTTGTTATGAACATGTTCCAAGCAAATTACTTTTCTTACTTTCTCTAAAAGGGGCAGTATTAGGAGGGGGGTAGGGGGTGGAACCAAGTGACGGCGCTCGGAGGTGGGTAGGGGGCGGAGACAAGGGGTTACTTGAAAATGGGGAATACCTGAGAAAAAAAGCCCTGTTAATGGCAATATTCTCTCCTACCTACAGAACAACTATGTCCTCACCGCCTCCTGGGTAGCACGCAACGCTCTGCAGCTATGGGACTTCCGCACCGGTAATCTCCTACAAGACATCCCGTTTCCAGCATCCCAACTTCAAGGCGAGTTCCTGTATGCAGCCAGATTCTGTACGGATAGTGTGGTGCTGGCCGGAGGAAGTGGAACCTTCAGCGCTCATGCGGCCAATATCAAGACTCAGGAGGTAAGATATTAGATTTCCCACAGACTCATCTCCGGTACAACCACCTGTAGTCTGCGTATCTTCTCCTTCATGTACTGCTGGGTTTCCCACCTCAGTTGGTTTGCTTTTGGACTTACTCATTGTATTCAACTTCCTGAGCCCCTCAATGGATGAGAAAAAAAATAGGATTTGTGTATTTAAAAACACATGGACCCTAACTAAAACACGCTAATGGGGCTTTTGGAGGCACCATACCAAAAAGAGAATCAATACTCAAGTATAGAAGATTAAAGCTTTGTTGAACACTGTTAAAACCACAGTTGTGGTCCACATTTTTGACCAGTCACATAGCTCATATAAAAAGACACGTGTAGCTTGTGCATAGTAACAGGCTTATTACATAATATTGCAGAAAATATCCCTAGAGATCATTTTCTCAAGATCTTTCACCGATCTTTCTCCAACGTGTTTCACAGGACAATTGCCCGCTTCCTCAGGGAGATATAAACTACAGTTCTAAAATTATATAAACAAAGCCAAAAAGAGCATACGGCATGTTAGGGAAAGATAACAACATTTGTAGCAACCAAATATTCAAATTTACCAGACGATGGCCTAAAGATGTTCATAGAGAGACACAAGGAAACATGACCATTTGAATCCAAAAAAGGTCCCTCCATCAATGGTGCAAAGATAGGCCAGGTGGACCATCCACGTGTCCATAGTAAGAAGAAGGCTGAAAAAACGGATCAAATCATCTAAATATTTATTGTGTCCCAAATCCTTCCAAACCACACCCCTACTCCCCAAACTGGTTTTAACACAAACAAACAAATTAGTAATTCGGGACGACAGGGAAGTAATCTATTCATAGACCTTGACTAGGTACATTTTAGAATTAACCCTCTCCAAAACTAATTTAATCTGAGTAATGCACATCCAAATATTCGGTTTATCAAAAAGGAAGATAAAGTATTTACTGTGTATGTATATATATCTATCTATATATCTAGGTATCCCATACCAGTGATATACATGCTTACCATGATCAAACTCACCCCCAGCTTGAGGTCCCAATCTGCATAGATATGTTGAAAAAAGATATAGTAATATAGATATTCTGCACTAAGGTGTAGCCCTGGAATTGCTACCTCCTATCATGGGCCTTAAGTAGTGAGGGAAAGGTGTCAAATGCCGGCTTTCCAGCCATAGGGCACATGTGCGGACGTGATGTCAGCACGTATGCGTGACATCATGATATCCTACATCCTTCTAGCTGGCGTCGCGGCATCTGACATCACAAACCTGCGTTTAACTCCCGTGGCCATATTGGAAAAGCGAATCAACAAACAAACAAGTACAGGTGCCCCGCGGAGCCATAAGCAGTCAAAGTCAAACCGCGCAATACCCTTAAGGTATCAACCACACCAAGGTCCACATCTCCCAATTCAAAAAATGTATAGATTATAAAACGAAAATGTATTAAGACAAAAATATATAAATGGTTCCTTTTGAAGCCTTCCTCATAGATTAATTATAATTGCCATCTTGTCATAGCAATATAATTTCTATAATGCAAAACAAACAAAAAATTTAAGTCACCAACAATAGCATACATCAAAATACATAATAATAAATTGAAGAAAAATAATATAAATTGAAGAAAAATAATATGTCAAATAAAAATCTATCAAATTCAAAATGAATATAACTAGTGCAATTAAATCATAAATATGATGACTGATTACCAAAAAACCAGACCTGGCAATCTAACCTAGGGCAAAAAATGGTAATTTAGACCAGGAGACTGTGTGGTGGCTAGGTTATGTATCCATCTAGCCTCCTTCTGAAGGATGTGATGATCCCAGTCACCACCTCTAGGGTCTAGATGAACTCTTTCAAGGGCAAAGAACCTGACACATTGTGGATTGTTAGAATGATACCATGTCTCCTTTGTGTAGTTACCAGGGGCGGACTGACCATTTGGAAACTCGGGCACTGCCCAAGGGCCCAGGGTCAGTAGAGGGCCCCATGAGATGCCCCTGGTACCTTTTTCATAGGATGTTTTGAGTTTGGGCAAGGACACAGGGGCCCCATAATCCCCTATTGCCTGGGGGCCCCATGAGTTGTCAGTCCGCCCCTGGTAGTTACTGTAAAATCCTTTCCTTTGGGGTCCATTGAGGGACACAGGTCCCACCGCTATGTGTCTAGGATTATGCAGTTGGTACTGCTTTACTACAAGAGGCACCAAATGACTATTCTGGCCAAATAAATGAATTAACACCCCTGCACTTGACGCTTGCAAATGCTTACAAACCTCAGGCGTTTTTTTTTACAAAACATTCTGCTGCCAAGAGGAGGAAGGCTTTTAGGAGTTTTATTTTTTTTAACATTCTGTGTGCATGAGGCCTTAGGCACAGTAGGATTATTTTTTTTTTAAGCTCAAAAAATGCTGAAAAAAACACTGGAAAAAGGAAACCTTTTTTAGTTTTTAGTAGATTTCAGAAGCATTTAGGAGCGTTAGCGTTTTATTTGTTTTTACAGTAGAGAAAAAAAGCTGTTAGGAGTGGTGTAGGAGTGTTCAGCGTTTTTTTAGGCTAGAAAAACACTCCAAAAAACTCTGCTCCTGGACGCTGAAATTAAAAAAAAATGCTAATAGCCTAAAGCAGTGTGCATGGACACATAGGATAGCACCAGGGGTGGACTGACAACTCATGGGGCCCCCGGGCAATAGGGGATCATGGGGCCCCTGTGTCCTTGCCCAAACTCAAAAAAGACTATGAAAAAGATACCAGGGGCATCTCATGGGGCCCCCTATTGACCCCGGGCCCTCAGGTTGTGCCCGAGTTTCCAAATGGTCAGTCCGCCCCTGGATAGCACCATTTAGCTGCTTGGAGTAGAAAAAAATGCTGATACCAGCTTGTAGGAGCTTAAAAAAATGCTAGTGTGCATGGAGCCAAAGACTTTGCGCAAATTGTATTCTGATGCTCTGGGAATTTTGGTTATTTAAACTGAAAGTTCAAACAGACTTGACCAACGACACAAGCAAGCAAATAATAGAAGTTCACGGTCAGGGTTTAGATAATGTTAACAAAGCGTTTCACATTTCTGTTGAATGGCTCTTCTGTAGGAGGGTATTAGGGGAGATTTGGATGACATCGTATTTGATGTCACACAGCTTCTGCATTGTATTGTCTGGTTGCTGTGAGCACAGATAATCTAGGATTAATTACAGGCTTGACTCCTATTTCTCAACACTCTGGACAAGGAGTGAAGGCGTAATATTCCGGGAAGGTATAGAACATAGCATGCTGCAATTCAGACTCGCAATGTGACTCCAAACAAAGACGCAGTCCTGGGTTTGTGTATGGTGCATACGTGTGTTTAACCACTTGCCCTCCAGAAGATATTCCTGACCAGGCCATTTTTTGCGATAAGGCGCTGCGTTACTTTAACTGACAATTGCACGTTCATGCATCACTGCACCCAAATTAAACTTACGTCCTTTTTTCCCCACAAATAGAGCTTTTTTTGGTGGTATTTGATCGCCTGTGCATTTTTTTTTTGCGCTATAAACAAACAACCCTGACGGTTTTGAAAATAAAACAATATTTTTGACTTTTTGCTATTAAACATGTCCAGTAAAAAAGTAAAAAAAATCTAATTTTGTCATAAATTTAGGCCAAAATGTCTTTGCTAAAAAAAATCCAAATACGTGTAAATGAATTGGTTCACGTGAAAATTATAGCGTTTACAAATGGCGGTATATATACTGGATTTTTATTTATACTAGTAATGGCGGCGATCAGCGATTGCGGCAGGCATTCTGCCACTGGCTAACTGACTAACTGCCACTGACATCCCCAGTGACACCAATACAGTGATCAGTGCTAATGAAAAGCACTGACACTGTACTAATGGCACTGGGCAGGAAGGGGTTAACATCTGGGGCGATCAAAGGGTTAACTGTGTGCTATGTGTGTTTTACTGTGTGCTTTTTTTACTTGGGAGACATGCTGTGAAGAGAGATACAAAGCAGCATGTCCATGCTGACAGCAGAGAGACCTGTGTTGTTTACATACAGACCTCTCCCCTGTCACTGTTCCTTGTCGATCACTGGGTGCCGGCAGGGAATCTCTGGCACCCGGCAACATTTCTACATCAAAAAATGTTGGGTGGCAGCGATGTTAAAGGGCAATAACATACACATGGTTATAAAAAATTACTACTTTATTCAACATGTAGGCTAAAAACACATGGAAAACACAGCTCATAATTAAAATGTGAACAATAAGCAAAATCACAGAGCGCCAGTTGACCATATGATGTGATAAAGAGCCCCCTGATGTAACATAGGCTGGGGAATTTGTTATAGTCCAGATTGCGTAGTTCCAATGTCCAACGCATTTCGTAGCTACGCTATCCGGACTATTACCAATTCCCCAGCCTTTGCTATATCAAAGGGCTCTATATCACATCATATGGTCAACTGACTCTCTTTGAGCTTTTGGTTATTGTTCACATCTTAATTATGAGCTGTGTTTACCAAGTGTTTTTAGCCTAATGCATGTTATAATCGTGTGTGTTTGTTTTTTCCTTTAACATCCCTGCCATCCCTGATCTATATTTCCTCTCGGATGGGCATTATATGTTCTCCAGTCACATCATTTCATATGAGAAACAGCTTTCTGGCAAGATAGATTATCCCTACTGACAAGTTATATAGTTAGTCTGGCTGAACAATAACAAAAGTCCATCCAGTTCAACCATAAAAAAAAAGTTATAATCCTACACCCACAGTTGATCCAGAGGAAGGCAAAAAAAAAAAACCAGCAAAGCATAATCCAATTTGCTCCTGCAGGGGAAAAAATTCCCCCAGAGAAAATCGGATATTCCCTGGATCAACTTTACCTATAAATGTTAGTATCCAGTTATATTCTGTGTATCTAGGAAAGAATCCAGGACTTTTTTACTCTTGAGGGAGTCTATTCCCCAATTTCACAGCTCTCACTGTGAAGAAA